AGCTCAACGCCTCCACCACCAGCATCATCAGCAGCTGCCACATCTTCATCAGCGCCATCAGCATATACAGCACCACCAGCAGCAGTGGATACAGCCGCAGCAGTGGCTGCTCCATCATCTTCAGCAGCAGCAGTGGATACAGCAGCAGCAGTGGCTGCTCCATCATCTTCAGCAGCACCTTCCCCACCTACAGCTCCCGTGAAGCTTCCCCCACTGCTCCAGGCTACAGTCAGGCCTGTACGGGGGTTCCTCAACCACCTCTGTCTCCACCAAAGACTCCCTCATCACCTTCCATGGACCCGGCTTGGGTCCCCCCCGCTACATCCACTCCATCTAGGGAAAATGAGGACGACCTTTCCCTTTGTTTTCTATCCCCGCCTTCACTACTGGAATTACCGGAACACTCGGCAGGCATGATAAGATCGGCGATGAAGACTATTCCTCTCACACCCACTGTAGCCAGATCAAGAGTCCTATCTAACATTCAAAACTACTCCCCATACGTACCTCCAAAGCCACCTAGAGCGTCCAACTCAAATTCTCCCACAAAATCCACCCATCCCTCCTCTAACCCCATAAGTATTCCACCCCCCCCTCCTGCTCATTTAGCCCACCTCCCCCCTAACCCAGCACCAAGAAACCCTCCACCTCCACTCCCCCCTCGTCCACCACCCAACTCAGCCTGCCCCTCCCCTAACCCATCACCAAAAACCCATCCACCTTCAACCCCCCCCCGTCCAACTCCCAAGAACCACCTGCCTCTCCATCCTCTTCCCCCACCTTCCCCTTCCCCTCTTTTCTCTAAACACTAGGATGCACAGGGTCTCTGCTTCGCAGCCACTGGCAGTCTAGTTAGAGGAGAGACCCGGCTGGGGCCCTGTCATGAAGCCACCTGTGCCATTCCCTTAGTGATAACACAAAGAATACATTACAGAAAAACATCTGAAGTTAATCAGTCTAATCAGGAAAATCTAATTCTTGTTCCGTGTAAGAATCAGCCGACCACAACCGCTGATACTGAAACTTTGAAACTTGCTATGCTAAATGTCAGATCTCTTTGTAACAAGTCTTTTTTAATCAATAATTTTATTTTTTCTTATAATCTAGATCTTATGTTCATGGCTGAAACATGGCTTGACCAAAATACAGAAAATGCAGTTTTAATAGAAGCATCACCACCAAATTTCAAATTTGAATCTGAAATACGGGGAAACAAAAAATGAGGAGGCTTAGCTGCCATTTTCAGAGACCACTTTGTCTCCCATAGAATGTCTCTTGGGAAGTTTCCGTCTTTTGAATATGTGTCTTTTAAAATACAACAAAAACAATCTAGTCCAATACTCTTCATTGTCCTATACAAGCCACCGCAGTCATGTCACAGATTTATTGATAATTTTACGGAGTTGCTTTCAGTTTTATGCACAGATTTTGATAGCTTAGTTATTACAGGGGATTTTAATATTCATGTGGATAATGTTATTGACAGAAAGGCAAAAGAGCTGAGTTCTGTTCTTGAATCTTTTGGTCTCACTCAGCATGTGAGTGGCCCCACCCACAGCAGAGGGCACACTCTAGACCTGTTAGTTACTAAGGGGGTGAATATTTCAAATGTAAACGTGGTCGATGTTGCGCTTTCGGATCATTTTTGTGTATTTTTTGACATGTGTTTCACTAACAAACCACCAATGGACTCTGCAACTGTACGAAGAAGACACATAAATGAAAATACGGGTGAACTATTTATGGGAATGATAAACTTTGAGAATGCATCGTATTCTACTGTAGATGAACTGTTTAACTCTGTCACCTCTAGTGTTTTGAATGTTCTGGACACCATCGCTCCTGTGAAGGTTAAAACAGTGAAAAATAAGCAGAAGGCGCCGTGGGCTAAAGCAGACTCGGTCAGGGCACAAAAGAGAGAGTGCCGGAGGGCCGAGCGGAAGTGGCGCAAGTCCAACCTCCAGGTTGATTACGAGATCTTCAAAGATAAGTTGTGCGAGTTTAACCAGGTGCTACGTAGTACGAGAGAAAGGTATTTTTCTGAAATGATTGAAGGCTGCAGCAACAATCTGCGTGTTCTGTTTTCAACAGTTAATAGATTAACAAACCCCCCTGTTCAGATGCCATTAGAGCTAACTTCCAAACGTAAATGTAATGAGTTTGCACATTTTTTCAATGACAAGGTTCAAGGCATCAAAAACGCCATTGTCTCCAATCCACAGATAACCATCCAACAGCCTAAAAGGCTCTTTGAGCTAACTTACTTTGCACCTGTAAATGATCAAACTGTCCAAGAGATAATCTCCAGTCTGAGCGCCTCCACATGTAGCCTGGATGTACAACCCACTAGATTTCTGAAGTCTGTTCTGAGCAGTCTGTTACCTTCACTCACACAGATAGTAAACATGTCCCTTCATTCTGGAATATTCCCAAAGGCCCTGAAAACTGCAGTCATCAGGCCCCTGCTTAAAAAGAGCAGTCTGGATGCTACGGTACTTAGCAACTACCGTCCCATCTCAAATCTGCCATTTATGGGGAAAGTCCTTGAAAAAGTTGTCTACCAACAGCTAAATAGATTTCTTATAATCAACAACTCATTTGATATGTTTCAGTCCGGCTTTAGACCCCACCACAGCACTGAGACTGCTCTCGTCAAGGTTACAAACGATATCCGGCTAAACACTGACGCAGGCAAAGTCTCAATCCTAATCCTGTTAGATCTGAGTGCTGCCTTTGACACTGTCGACCATGAGATCCTCTTACAGAGACTAGAGGACTGGGTTGGCGTCGCTGGCACCGCCCTAAGTTGGTTTAGGTCTTACCTTGAAGACAGGAAGTACTTTGTGGAGATTGGAAACTGTGTCTCAGATCATATGGCCCTGACCTGTGGAGTACCACAGGGGTCGATCCTGGGACCTCTTCTTTTCAATCTCTACATGCTGCCGTTAGGTCAGTTAATACGCAGAAACGAAGTTTCCTATCATAACTATGCAGACGACACTCAGATCTATGTCTCACTGACTGCAGGAGAACATGGACCAGTGGACTCACTCCTTCACTGTATCCAACAGATCAGTGAGTGGATGCAAAACAACTTCCTTCAGCTAAACGCAGACAAAACTGAAATGATTGTCTTTGGTCCCCAGAAACAAAGAGAGAGCGTCATCTGTCATCTACAGTCTTTCTCCCTAAAACCTTCAAACAAGGTCAGAAATCTAGGGGTAATACTGGACTCAGACTTAAATTTTAATAGCCACATCAAATCAGTAACATCAGCAGCTTTTTACCATCTAAAAAACATTGCCAGGATCAAAAACATAGTGTCTAAAGCAGACTTGGAGATTCTTATCCATGCATTTGTCTCCAGTAGGTTAGACTACTGCAATGGCCTGCTCACAGGTCTGTCCAAACAGGCTGTAAAACAGCTGCAGTACATTCAAAATGCAGCAGCTCGAGTCCTGACTAGAACCAGGAAGTACGACCATATTAGTCCGGTCCTCAGGTCTCTGCACTGGCTTCCTGTGGCTCAGAGAATAGACTTTAAAACAGCTTTGCTTGTGTACAAGTCTCTCCATGGCCTCGCACCAAAATATATTAGTGACATGTTAGTCCCATATGAACCAGCCCGGACTCTGAGGAGCACAGGGACTGGACTCCTGTTAGTGCCCAGAGTCAAGACTAAACATGGGGAGGCTGCTTTTCAGATTCATGCTGCTAAAATCTGGAACATTCTTCCTGAGGATGTGAGACAGGCCTCCTCTCTGACTATGTTTAAAACCAAGTTAAAAACTGTGCTGTTTAGCTGTGCATACAACTGAGGGATTTTATATTTTTATCTTTCTTTTTAATGTTCTGTGATTATTTATGATTTTAATGCTATCTTGTTCAGCACTTTGAGTTGCCTTGTGTATGAATTGTGCTATACAAATAAACTTGCCTTGCCTTGCCTTGCCTTGCCTTGTGCATATTGTTAGAATGACGAGTTAGAACGTTAACCACAGTAGCTTCAAAGTGTCATGAAATATCCAAAAAAGCAAAAAAATACTAATTTTCTTCATATATCAGCCAGCAATTCTTGCTGGCCTGACCACCACTTCGTCAACCGGAAGTTTATGCGTCACGTGATTGCAAGCAAGCAATTACTTTACCCATTACTTTCCTAATGACTCACACCTTGAACTAACAATTAAGTAGGACTAAAAGCTTCTAAAGCTGAGGAAAATACAACTTGTGCTGTATGATTAAATGTGTTTCAGTAAATTATCACAAATAAAATATTTATGTTTGTAGTTGAAACGTGATAAAATGTGCAGAAGTTCAAGCTATACTGAAGAAGACAGAAGCACTGTCACCATGCGGGTATGTATGTACAATATTATTACTTTTATGCTAGGTTAGACCCATAGACTGTAAATATCGTAGTGACGCCTATTTCCCCCTTTGAAATTTAAGTGTGATCGACATTTTCAAAATGGCTCTGAGTAGCCCCTCCCACAGGAAAATGATGAAAAAACGCCCTTGTGCAAGCATGAGTTGGCACGAGCCGCTTTCAGAGCATGGGCTATATCAATTGTGCATCTTCGAAAGTCTGCAACAGATGAACTAGGTTGGTCCAAAAAAAATACTCCCCTCAGTATTGTCCCGCATCTGGAACTTAGTGTTGAGCAGTGGGGGCGGGTCCCTGCTCAAAAGTGGCAAAAATGACGTGCGCTGACATGCTTGCAATACCACCCCGGGCCGATGGGGGTGGACCCGGAAGAAGAATTAGCCAATGCTAACATATAGCATACCAAGAGCTGACTTTTGCTTTTTAGAGGAAAAAAGGCAACATAAGAATGCATTTAATACTTCTGTTTCCAGGTACGCCCCCCCCGACCAATGGAACCACATATATATGTTTTAATTAGCTCACTGGAGAATCATTTTTGGTCACAAAGATATCCACAATATTCAATGTATCTGAAATCTGTGATGTGAAACATGAATGGATGCATGTGTACCGTAGGGGTAGAGGTGCTGGTAGAGGCTGGTGCTCACGGCGTTAGTGTAAAAGTCATCATCCAATTCTTCTTCTGTGTTCTGAGGACTGGAGCTTGGACTGCAGCGCCCCCCTTGCGGCACCAGGAAGGACTGCATGTGAGCAACACCTGCCCCCAGGAAACACAGTGCCCCGCCTCTCAGCTCAGCTCTGAGGACACACCATGGATGTCTTCAACACACAAGGCCTTTACACACATGCTGTGCTCGTCTATTCTTTATCTTCACAATAAGGAATCAATATTATTATGATCAGTTTCAGAGAAAAAGAATGACCCTGTTTCCATCAACTCCTTTGTATATAAAATTTTAAATGAGGGACATTTTCACTATTATGCTTGGAGAGACGACAATGGAGACATAGTCTGAGTGGATCAAAGTCCTGGCCCAAACGGCCTGTTCGTTATATTGTTGTTATCAACCATAAAATGTGGAAGCCGTACTTATGATTCAGCAAAAATAATCATAGACCAAAAGTCAGCTCCGACTGAGGACTAGTCCCCAATCAGTCATTGGAGGTTCTGTGACGCCCTTCAAGACAACTGTTTGGATTTCAGGCAATACAAAGAACATTTCATCGATTTGATTCATTTTGATATACTGCATCATGAAAATGTGTTTTCGAGAAGTCAGCTGAGTAGAACTGAGGATAAGGGAAATGAGGAAGAAGTGTTTGCTAAAGGGTCTGACCTGGGCTCTGGTTCCTCCTCGGTGGGTGGGGTGCTGGCTCTCTCCTGTTTGATGCGGCTTACAGACAGAAGCAGCTCTTCTGAGCTCAGACAGGGCTGGTCTGGACTGTCTCTGTGGGGGACACTTCCCAGCTCCTCTGCAGACGTCTGCAACCAACATCACATGGATAACAGAGAAAAAACAAAGGCCACAAGTTTTATACTTCACACCTCAATGGATCATCATTAGTCCAAAAATATTAATTTTATCTACTTTTGGCAAAGCAGAACAAAGGATCTGCATTGGATGAGAGTACACATATAAATATAAAAAAAATCCTCTTGTAGAAGAAGTAAGATATGTCCAATTTAAAAGTCACTCTCTACTCTACTCACCTGGGGTGAATCTCTGAGGGACCCAGGCTCTGCCTAAGAAGGTACAGTGCCTTGCAAAAGTATTCAGCCCCCTTGAACCTTTCAACATTTCGCCACATTTCAAGCTTCAAACATAAAGATATAAAATTTAAATTTTTTGTCATGAATCAACAACAAGTGGGACACAATTGTGAAGTGAAACAAAATTTATTGGATAATTTAAACATTTTTAACAAATAAAAAACTGAAAAGTGGGGCGTGCAATATTATTAGGCCCCTTTACTTTCAGTGCAGCAAACTCAGTCCAGAAGTTCAGTGAGGATCTTTGAATGATCCAATGTTGTCCTAAATGACTGATGATGATAAATAGAATGCACCTGTGTGTAATCAAGTCTCCGTATAAATGCACCTGCTCTTTGATAGTCTCAGGGTTCTGTTTAAAGCGCAGAGAGAACCATGAAGACAAAGGAACACACCAGGCAGGTCCGAGATACTGTTGTGGAGAAGTTTAAAGCCGGATTTGGATACAAAAAGATTTCCCAAGCTTTAAATATCTCAAGGGGCACTGTGCAAGCAATTATATTGAAATGGAAGGAGTATCAGACCACTGCAAATCTACCAAGACCCGGCCGTCCCTCCAAACTTTCATCTCAAACAAGGAGAAGACTGATCAGAGATGCAGACAAGAGGCCTATGATCACTCTGGATGAACTGCAGATAACTACAGCTGAGGTGGGAGAGTCTATCCATAGGACAACAATCAGTCGTGCACTGCACAAATTTGGCCTTTATGGAAGAGTGGCAAGAAGAAAGCCATTTCTCAAAGATATCCATAAAAAGTCTCGTTTAAAGTTTGCCACAAGCCACCTGGGAGACACACCAAACATGTGGAAGAAGGTGCTCTGGTCAGATGAAACCAAAATCGAACTTTTTGGCCACAATGCAAAACGATATGTTTGGCGTAAAAGCAACACAGCTCATCACCCTGAACACACCATCCCCACTGTCAAACATGGTGGTGGCAGCATCATGGTTTGGGCCTGCTTTTCTTCAGCAGGGACAGGGAAGATGGCTAAAATTGATGGGAAGATGGATGGAGCCAAATACAGGACCATTCTGGAAGAAAACCTGTTGGAGTCTGCAAAAGACCTGAGACTGGGACGGAGATTTATCTTCCAACAGGACAATGATCCAAAACATAAAGCCAAATCTACAATGGAATGGTTCACAAATAGATGTATCCAGGTGTTAGAATGGCCAAGTCAAAGTCCAGACCTGAATCCAATCGAGAATCTGTGGAAAGAGCTGCAGACTGCTGTTCACAAACGCTCTCCATCCAACCTCACTGAGCTCGAGCTGTTTTGCAAGGAAAAATGGGAAAGAATTCCAGTCTCTCGATGTGCAAAACTGATAGAGACATACCCCAAGCGACTTGCAGCTGTAATTGCAGCAAAAGGTGGCGCTACAAAGTATTAGCGCAAGGGGGCCGAATAATATTGCACGCCCCACAGTTTTTTATTTGTTAAAAAAGTTTAAATTATCCAATAAATTTAGTTCCACTTCACGATTGTGTCCCACTTGTTGTTGATTCTTGACAAAAAAATTAATTGTTATATCTTATGTTTGAAGCCTGAAATGTGGCGAAATGTTGAAAGGTTCAAGGGGGCCGAATACTTTCGCAAGGCACTGTAACTCTGCAAATCATGTGGAAAACTATTTCTAGTAACTTGTTGAGCTATCGTCTGGCCCAGGCACAAACTTCACTCTGTTTGAGTCTGAACTAAACTAAGATGCAGTTTTACAGCAGATGTCACCAGTTAGGATGTGGGATATTAGGATGCCAACAGAACTAGGTTTAATATGAGGACGAAAGCATATCTAAAGAAGCTCTAAAGCAGCTTTAAAGCAGCTCTAAACAAGTCTAATGTGATCTAGTTTGTCGTTTAAGCGCACCAAGCCATTTAAGGTTTAAGGTACACTACATTAATCCCTGTAGGGCAATTTGTCCTCTGCATGCCACAAGGCAAACCAGTGGCAGGACCGGAGCTGAAGGGATTTGACCTATAGTGTATGTTTTGGGAGAAGGAAACCGGAGAGCTCGGAGGAAACCCATCCAGACACCCACGACCTTCTTGTGGTGAAGCACACGTGCCAACTCAACATTTCAAAGCTCTCAAAACAAAGTACTCTTTACCTGTGAGTCGCAGCAGAGAGGTGAGGATGAGGAGGAGGCGCTCTTCATCAGCAGCTCCATGCCTCGCTCCACAATGTTCTGGATCTGCAGGTATCCCGCTGTGTACATGAGCACCAGCTGCTCCTGCGGCGCCACCATGAGGCGACCAGTATAACAGAAGGACAAGATCTGCTCAAAACAGGCTGGAGATACAGAGGAGGGCAGCTCCAGCACCAACGGGGAATCTGAGGACTGAGGACAGAGGCTTAGGGTTAGACCAGGGACCAGGGCTCGGGACAGAACAAGTATTTTTATTACCATAACGTAGTTAATACACTAAACAAAACAGCTGTCAACATGAAGTCTTGGAGTGGGATATATGCAGTGTGTGACATCACACAGAAAAGTTGAGTTAAGTCCTGGGCTGGTTCTGGCTCACCTGTATGTGGTCTGGCTCTGCACTGAACAGGTCTCTGAAGTAGAGAGAGGATGCAGCTAACACGGCTCTGTGGGCTTTGAACACCTGCCCCTGCACCATGATGTGAACGTCACAGTACTGCCCTGAGGCCCTCTGCTCCTCCAGGCTGCCCAGCACAGAGCTGCCAAAGTCGGGCACGTGGAGCTGCAGCAGCCCCTCTGCCATCCTGGATGAACTCAAACTGGACTGGAGAAAGGGTCTTGTAGGATCAAACCTGCGTGTGGACTTGTAGGGTCTAAAGGTCTGACAGGAGGTCCATGTTAAGTCTGGTTTAGATCCAGGTCTAGCTCTGGAAAAAAAAGCAGAGCCAAAAGATTAGTCCCTGTTAAAAAGAAAAGTTTCAAAAGTCATTTGGATTCAGCCTTTGATATTTTTCCCAAATAAAATCACAGAAAAGCTACGAAAAGTCCAAGTCTAAACCAGAAATACATCTTGGCTGTAAAATGAATGTACAAATGAATCAGGTATAATTATAGACTCATTCCGTTCTAAGCTTGGTCGTAAATCACGTCTTCAGTCAATGTATAAAGGAGATGATAGAGTTAAAGATGCAGCATGCCACTAATCAAGACATAACATAAGTCTTAACCAGGACTAAACAGGTTTAAAACAGGTCCATACCAGTTCTTACCTGTGAGTGGTCCTCCTGCAGCCTTGGTCCCGGCCGTGGTCCTGGACTGGGTCTGGTTTAGGCTCTGGTTTTGGCTCAGTGAGTGTGCTTGTATGTGATGGAGAGCTGAGGCAGAGGCAGGAGACAGAGCAAGTTCATATGAGGACAGGCCTAATGCGGCTAAGTGTCTGCAGAGGACAGCCACAGCCAATCACAGCACAGTGTTCAGGAGGAGCCAGGACCACAGCCAATCGAAGCAGGATGAGGGAGGGAACCAGGAAGTGACAGGCTGGTTTGTTTATTTTGAGGTGTTTTGAATATATTTGAAGTGGGTCTGAAGAGGAACCAGGGATATATTAGGATACCAACAGAACTAGATTTAATATGAGGACGAAAGCATATCTTAAGCAGCTCTAAAGCAGCTTTAAAGCAGCTCTAAACAAGTCTGAAGCATGACTAATGCAGGACTAAAGCAGGAGTAAAACAGGACTAAAGCATATCTAAAGCAGGACTATAGCAGGCCTAAAACAGGTCTAAAGCAGGACTAATGCAGGACTAAAACAGGATTAGACTATCTTAAAACTATAGGACCAGAAAAACAGTCTATTCCAGTTCTCAATTCTAAACCGAACAAAACCAAGTCCTAGCAAAGATTTTGTCTAAATCAGGAGTTCAGGGTATATCAGAAAAGGGACGCGACCTGGATTACCCTAGTCCTATAAACTAGGACTAAAGATTAGGTCTAAAAAAATAAAAAGCTAAAGCAGGTAAAAGTTGGTTAATGCACAGTGAGTTGAATGCAGCAGTTGGACCATGTGACATCCTCTTTCCTCCTCCTCCTCCTCTCTCCGCTGTGTATGTGACAGTGACTGGGTTGTAAAGCAGAGCTGCATTGCAGAGTCTGGCCCACGTGCACATATCCAGGCGTGTGCACGTACAGTACATGCACAGCTGCGTTCGTATAGAGGAGAGAGAGGAGCTGAGTCAGACTGGGTCACCCCAGGACACACAGACAGGCAGACACAACCGCATTTTGGGAACTCAGATCTGTCTGCCAGAAGCCTGCAGTAGACCAGTGATGGGAGTAGCACATGTGTTCATGTACAGACCTGCATTCACACACCTTCTGATATGTGGTCCAATCTAAGTACTGATGAAAGTATTCAGAATCACATGTCTGAATGCTTATGTTTCAAGAGATAAAGACAGTTTGGGATTAAATATCTCCATAAGTGGGTTTTTCTTATGAGTTTTTCCTTGCCGATGCAGGAGGGTCTGTTGGGCAGTTAGTGTCCAACTAGAAGGACTGTGGTGATGATCCAGGACACTTTAACATTCTACAACATGTATGGACATTTTGCTATATATTCTTTATGTGTTTTAACTGTTGATTCTCTGACCTGTGTTGGTGATTTCAATTTTTTTGTTAAGTCCTCTGAGATGACTTCTGTTGTGATTTAGAGCTATACAAGAATAAATTGTATTGTATTGTATAATTTTGTTCGATGTAGAGCCCCTGCTCCTACCCTTCAGTCTCCCTGAGGTTCACCATAGGAAGGCCCTGAGATGAACAACACATGATGGAGGAACTGTGGCCTTGTTCACACTTGCTCAGGAGGACACTATACATAAAAACGGTCTTCATGACCTCACTGACATGTTTCAAAGTGAGATTTTGAGGTGCAATTTAATATTATAGAATTACATTTGCTAAATTAGAATAACTACATTTAAAAGGGCAGATATCACAACACATGACTTCAACAAGCAACATTACAGCAAATGTAACATTTGTTGATGCTGATGCTTTAAATTAACAACTTTAAATGTTTTACATTTGACCTCACAGTTCTGCTCTGGAAGGTTTGGGAACACAATTCTCCCTGTTGTCTGGGATTTCCTGCTCAACCTACTGCCTCTAACTCATCCTCAGGTAGAGTGAAAGAAGATGGAGGGATGAGATGAGATCCAAGATCCATGTTTCAATCCCAGAGAGAGAAAATCGTTGGATCAGGGTACTCTCTCTCACCTCCAGTCTTTCTGCTGTCATCCTGCTCCTGGGTCTGTCAGTCACACAGTAAGTGACTCCTCTATTGCCCACAAGCTACAGTAGCTCCCGTTTCCAGGTAGCTCCCTTAAAACAATAAACCCACAGCACTGAAGCATTGTGTGTGATTCATTTAATCCCACTTTAGATGGCTAATGTGGTTCAGACGTCAGGAACCTATGACTTGAAAGCCAGATGTGGCTCTTTTGATGATCACACTCGATTTCTTCACACAGCGCGCACACACAAAAAAACACTAATACATTTTTTATCAAAACACATTTTAAAGTTTGAGACCATTGTGGCTTTCTCGGCAAAAAAGGCTGCCAACCTCTGGTTTAGATTATATAGACTATATACAGTGCGAAAAGTATTCGGCCCCCTTGAACCTTTCGCCACATTTCAGGCTTCAAACATAAAGATATTTTGAAATTTTTTTTTTTTCATGAATCAGCAACGAGTGAGACACAATAGTGAAGTGGAACGAAATGTATTGGATAATTTAAACTTTTTTACCAAATATAAAACTGAAAAGTGGGGCATGCAATATTATTCTGCACCTTTACTTTCAGTGCAGCAAACTCACTCCAGAAGTTCAGTGAGGATCTTTGAATGATCCAATGTTGTCCTAAATGACTGATGATGATAAATAGAATGCACCTGTGTGTAATCAAGTCTCCGTATAAATGCACCTGCTCTTTGATAGTCTCAGGGTTCTGTTTAAAGCGCAGAGAGAACCATGAAGACAAAGGAACACACCAGGCAGGTCCGAGATACTGTTGTGGAGAAGTTTAAAGCCGGATTTGGATACAAAAAGATTTCCCAAGCTTTAAACATCTCAAGGAGCACTGTGCAAGCAATTATATTGAAATGGAAGGAGTATCAGACCACTGCAAATCTACCAAGACCCGGCCGTCCCTCCAAACTTTCATCTCAAACAAGGAGAAGACTGATCAGAGATGCAGCCAAGAGGCCCATGATCACTCTGGATGAACTGCAGATAACTACAGCTGAGGTGGGAGAGTCTGTCCATAGGACAACAATCAGTCGTGCACTGCACAAATCTGGCCTTTATGGAAGAGTGGCAAGAAGAAAGCCATTTCTCAAAGATATCCATAAAAAGTCTTGTTTAAAGTTTTCCACAAGCCACCTGGGAGACACACCTAACATGTGGAAGAAGGTGCTCTGGTCAGATGAAACCAAAATCGAACTTTTTGGCCACAATGCAAAACGATATGTTTGGCGTAAAAGCAACACAGCTCATCACCCTGAACACACCATCCCCACTGTCAAACATGGTGGTGGCAGCATCATGGTTTGGGCCTGCTTTTCTTCAGCAGGGACAGGGAAGATTGCTAAAATTGATGGGAAGATGAATGGAGCCAAACACAGGACCATTCTGGAAGAAAACCTGTTGGAGTCTGCAAAAGACCTGAGACTGGGACGGAGATTTATCTTCCAACAGGACAATGATCCAAAATATAAAGCCAAATCTACAATGGAATGGTTCACAAATAGACGTATCCAGGTGTTAGAATGGCCAAGTCAAAGTCCAGACCTGAATCCAATCGAGAATCTGTGGAAAGAGCTGAAGACTGCTGTTCACAAACGCTCTCCATCCAACCTCACTGAGCTCGAGCTGTTTTGCAAGGAAGAATGGGTAAGAATTCCAGTCTCTCGATGTGCAAAACTGAAAGAGACATACCCCAAGCGACTTGCAGCTGTAATTGCAGCAAAAGGTGGCGCTACAAAGTATTAGCGCAAGGGGGCCGAATAATATTGCACGCCCCACTTTTCAGTTTATTTGTTAAGTTTAAATGATCCAATAAATTTCGTTCCACTTCACGATTGTGTCCCACTTGTTGATTCTTGACTATTTTTTTTATTTTTGTATCTTTATGTTTGAAGCCTGAAATGTGGCGAAATGTTGAAAGGTTCAAGGGGGCCGAATACTTTCGCTAGGAAGGAGCTCTCCAAGGGGAGCTCTCCAAGGGGAAGCAGCTGGAGACCCCTGCAGCTCAGTTAGGCCCAGGTAAGGGATGAGAGATCACCATGGTTCCTTGTAACATGGTGATGCTTTCACTGAAGTCTTCCTCTTTAACTGTCCTTTTGTCTCTTGTACTTTATCTAATGCCCTCGGGTTCTTCAAAACTAATTACATTGATACTGAAGCGTTTGATATGACGGTATTGCAATGTTTCATCTTTAATATCTCAAACATCGTCTGTTGCTGTCTTTTTCTCAATACCTTCAATAAACACAGGAAGAACAAGATTGATCAATTAGCAACATAAAAAGAACCCCAAATAATGAAAAAAAATAAATAAATAAAAAGATTTCTAAAATGCAAGATTCCACAATTTCCGCATGCTAACAGAGCCTTACATGAATCTTTAGGCCATGCTTCCCATTGGTTTTCTTTCTGAGTATTCTTTTTTTCATCAAAATTTTCAGTAGCAGAGAAGCTAATGTAAAAATGGGGTCGGATTAAAGTCTTTGTTGCTCTTGTGTTTGCCTGAAATAAATATATACTATGGACAAAACTTTCATATTTATATAACAGAATAATAGTAGCAGAAATGATACGCAAAGACACAAAACTGTTAAAAACACATACTTTTATTTAGAACAGTTTCCATTTTCTCCCTTCCGAACAGAGAGAATGAGATGGACGGTTTCACAGCAGAACACAGTCCAGTGAATCAGAACCAGCGGCAGAACGTTTGGCACAGTCACATGAGCCACTCCACAATAAATACTCTTCATTAAAAACACACACACACACAATGGAGATATTTACAAGGTCACCACCTGCTTTTCCCTGAGATCACCTAAAGTCCAGGATGTCCCGGTTCCAATGCTTAAAGAAGACATATTGTGCCTTGGTTAGCTTTAGCTTTGCAGGTATGATCATTATGACGCACAAGGACCATTATATCAGTTCTAAATCTCGTAAGAGGAAAAAATACAACAAATAATCAAACAAAAATAAGTGGAGAATATATCTCTATTTAATGGAAGAACACAAATGAATCACTCTAAAAAACATCTTTGGGTTTGTAAATGAGGGAAAAACTAATAACAGTTTTGTTTTTATTTTAAATGGCACAATATGTCCCCCTTATGTCCTTGAAATGACAGAGAAAACATAAAAACAAACTTCTGCTCTAGAAAAAGCAAAAAAGCATTTAAACAGTTATTTGCAATGTAAATGTGGAATCCAGGTGAGTCCTGGTTGTGGGTCCTTTCATTCATTTAGGCTGTAAAGGCTTTGTGCTTTGAAGCGGACAAGATCCAGACTAGACCCAGACCGGTAACAGGCCTGGGTCAGTGTGGAAACTCAAAACTCAGGCCATAACGTCAGAGAGGCCACTCCAGAGGACCTGCTGGAGCTCAAGTTCACAGATAACCAGGAAAAAACAGCTTTTTGGCAACAAAAACGTGTATAGCTCCCATTCATTCCACCGCAGGGTTCTTTTTAATCATCAGAGTAAAATGTTTTAGAACCCACCACTCAAAACTATATGGCCCAACTTTAACCGTAAAATATATTTCTGTTCCTAAGCTAACTTTTAATACTGTTTTGTCGGCAGGGATAGCCAAAACTAGACAGTAAAATCAAACCGAGAGCTCCTGGACAGATCCACTCGACAGTTGCTGGGAGAAATGTAAACGCCTGACATTATTTGAGCTATTATTAAAACACAATCACAATGTAAAACTTCAAACACTGCAAAAATCCAATACCTATTCACTAGATTTTGAGTTGAAAATTTAACCTGTGATTGAGAATAGACACTGAAATAATACTATTGTCTTTTAGAAACCAACTGACAAGTAATGTGTTGAAATTAGTCAAAAAGCATCCTCAAACAAACAATCTAGACTCATATAAAGTAAAAAGAAAAAAAAAAAGAAATCCTGAATTCATGTCATTTTAAATCCTCGAAAATTCACATGTTTGCAGTGTAAATGTAATGCAAGGTAAATGCAACTTAAAATCCTTGACATTGAATCCTACTAAATCGACCTGGTGCAGAAGAGAAGAGGCAGTTTAGAAGAAGCTACAGACAAGAGCTGCTAGTGATGTGTGAGATGGGCGTGTGACGTCTGGCCATGTTTGAGTCCTCTTTCACACCCATTATGATCATGATCTGTAAACATACTTTGAAAAACTCCCTAAAACTGACTGAGAATCCCACTTCAAAATGCAGACACGGCAAATATGTTTATAAGTACTTGAAGTAGTGTCTTGATTTAGGTATTGTTTATTTTTATTCTTTTATTTTGAATATAATTTATTAGGATTTGTCAATGGCACACGCTCAAAACTGTCTGACTTATTTTACAAGTATGCTATTGTTCAGGTTTGCATAACTAAGTAGAGCTTTGTTAGTCGCTTTCTGCCTCTCTAGGCTGAGAGCTGATTGGCTGCAGACCAATCCACCGTGATTCACTTGTGTGTGTGGAGAAAACTCCTCTATGGTTGGGCTAGTGGCACAACCATAACAAACATTATTTTAAGATTTCACAAAAGGTTCAGGGTTTAAAACTAAAAACTTCAAGCCCAAATTAACTTAAATTATTATCACTTTTTGCAGTGTGAAAGGGCAGGTCATGTCGGCAGTGGCGCCAATTCCAAAACAAAACACCCCAGTTCTTTCCCCTCACAGTTCAGACGGCGAGCTTGGGCGGTCGCAGCCTCCACCGCCGCGATCGCACTCTGAAGAAGAAGAATAGCAACATGAGGAAGACGCAGGAGCCCACGTACAGCAGCAGACACAGGCTCATGTCCACGCTGGTGAAGCCCAGAGCCAGGGTCCGGTTGGCATGGTCCCCGCTTGACCCAGTCTTCTCCCCCTCCTCCACCACTGCGCCCTCTTCTGGCTTCAAATGGCCGACCAGCTTGTCCACTAAGTTCTTGATATCCGCCTTATTTAATCCGTTTACGTTCTTGCTACCATCCATATTTAAGCCGTTTTCGTTCTTGCTATGGTCTTTAATAAGGCCGGGAAAGACCTGGCCGTTATCCTCACTCAAGTTCTTGTTCACGTCATTCTCACCTACCTTCTCGCTTCCTACCTCCTTATGCCCTAGTTCCTTGCTTGCCACCTGCTCTTGTCCTACGTTAACCTGTTCCAGGTTGACGTCTGCTTCCACAGTGTACTTGTGGGAAAGGTTGGCGTCGCTGTAGTGGTGGAGCAGGAATTGAAGAACTTGTTGGCGGTTGAAGGCATGCAGGCCGCGCTCCTCGTCGTGGCAGGAGGCGCAGAGGGACGGAGGAGGCCACGCCCCCTTGGGAAAACGTGGGTCGTCACTGAGAGAACCTGCGAGACAGAAACAGTCCATTTAAACATAGCCACGTGAAACTTTTGTTTATCGCTTGAATTAAAGCAAAGTTGCACCACAAGAATTTAAAGATATACACAGCTGTTTTTAAGACCATTTAGAATACATAGAATAATTTATATGCAGTGAATGTTCTACCAGATCATCCACTACTTTGATTTACTACAACCGGAAGAGGAGAGCAGTGGAGTTTAAGGTTTAAGTTACACTTTATCAACACTCTGCTTTTGCCCCATCTCTAACCGTCACTGGGACCGGCATTTGTTCTACATGTATTGTATCGGGGCCCTGCCTATGAGCTAATGTAGCTTCCTGAGAGTTCCCCTTTACAAAATGTTCAAATAGAATGTGTATAACTTGTATGACTATGAAGTTTTGTAAATAAAGTGAATTGTATAAAGAGAATCGTTGGAATCCTGTCAATGAAACATTCTTTGCTGGGAGATTTGTCCTTAAAAAAGGAGCTTTGCACAACTTTTCAGATTGAGTCAACCTCCTTGGTTGTTGCCATGGATTTCTCTTTTAATAGTACAGTATACAGTGGTGTACCCTTTTAAACGTTTATAAATGTTTTATGAGGTTTTTTACAGCTCAAAAACCGGAGCTCGCCTCTCACTGCTCACAGATATGACCTGTCACTTAGTGATGTCACTTGCACTTGTGCTTTCTGGAGGGAAAAACAGAATTGACTAATTGAATTGATGAAGAAATATCATAGTATGCATTATTTTTGGCCAAAAAGTAAAAGTAAAAATATATGAAACCAGTATTGGTATTGAGAGTAAAAAATGCTTTCCGTCTGTAAGTCCCTATGCTACCACCAGAGGGAGGAGTTGAATTAAGCGCCGAGACTGGAGCTTGTAGACAGAAGGGGAAGTTATGTTTGTGCCAGAAGATCTTGATATTATCTTATATATCCCACCGCTGTCAGACTGTACAATAAGTAACTTTAAGTTTTAATGCCACTTTTTTATTGTACATAATAATATCCTGCACAGACTATATTTTTAACCTTTAACAACACTTCTGTCCTTTGCACAATCTGAGTGATTCTATCTATGTCAAATGTGACATGTGAATTTCTCCAGTATGAGATCAATGAAGTCTATCTTATCTCATCTTATACTAGCTTGGATGTGCAAGTTGCCTACTAGAGATCCTTGTAATAAGAGGCTGTGTTGCTATGGTTACCTGCCAGTCTGTCGTTGACCTGGTTGTGCTGGTCCCAAAGCCACATCACCTCCTCCTCTGGGCTCTTGATCTCTGCCACGCTGTCCGACAAGGCTGCCTCCTCGAAGTTCTTTCCGCACTCTTCGCAGCCAAAGAAAGTGCGGATGTATCGCCGCATGACGTTGATGACGGGCGCGGCCTCTGCCTCCAGCGCGGTGTGCTGCAGAGCGAAGGGCGCGGCCTGTCTGCGCACCGACAACAAGTGGAACAGGGTCCAGAGGGCACACGGGTATCCACGCAAACCCGGAGCACTGCCCTGACATCCCACCCAGCGCATCTGTGAGCCCAAGAACACGCCCGAGATCTGGGGGAGAGACTACAGCTGTCAGCAAGAGACAGATTCACAAATCAAAACTTTATTAATGCTTGTGGTAGTAGTCTAGTAGTAGTAGTCAATCTAGGATATAGTGCAACCTGGCTTGCCGTAAACATTTCCATTCATTTTTCTCACATATTTTTCTCCTATTTATTTCTGTTCTTAATTTTAGAAGTTCAATATCTCTTATAAGGTTTGAGAGCTCCCAACTGTATACATTACGGTTTAGAAAATGAATCACCATGTTTGCGACAATGCAGATATGTTGTAAAAACAGCTCTTAAATGGCACAAATACAACCTTTTGCGACACATGATAATTTACATAGTTGAGGAGGGCTGACAACTTCAACTTCAATCCTAGTCCAAATATGCTTGAATGCCAGTCGGATTAGACGGTCGGTAGGTTTGTAGGGAGTATTATAGGGAATAAATGAGTAAATAAATAAAATCTCAACTCACGCAATTCTTTAAAGCACTGGAGGGCGCTAGAGAGTAACAGGACTAAAACGCTAAATATGTGCTTTAAACTATTTTTGGAGACAGAACAATACAATGGAGTAATCTGTTTGTCAAGGTATTTTTTTAAGGCGAATTAGGATTTTTTATAGCCTAGTATTATTCTTGAGGACGCTTCACTTCCTCTCAAAAGGAGATACAAAATAAGTCTCTTGGGACATATTCACATATTTTTACAGTTACACGCATGCTAGTATACAAGCACAAGGCAGTGAGGCAGGTTTTTAGACTTTTGTGAAAAGTCTGTCCCTGACACCGGAGCAGTCAGGGCGGGACTGAGTGTGAAAAAGGCCTATAGAGTCAGACAGAAGCATTACGTCACCTTCATCTTGTTGTCCACCAGGTCTAAAACAGCCTGATATGGGATTTTCTGAAGAGGGAGACTCAGCAGCCAATCAGAGAGCGTCTCCATGAGCTTAACCACAGCGCCCCCTCCTGGATACAGCTACACAGCGGACATAGAAAAAAAAAAGGTTCATGTTTAGAATCCACATTACTCATAACACAGTACAGTACTGACAGGGCCCATTTCATTTTCCATCCATCCATTCATTTTCATCCCCTTAAACCATTTCTGGGTCGAGGGGGTGGCAGTCAGAGCTGCACCCAGTACACAGAACACCAGCCACACACTGATCCTCCAGCAGGAGGCGAGTCCACAGGAGCTGAGATGTTTCAGCAGGGGCTTCAGGCAAAGTGGGGTTAAGTGTCTTGCCCAAGGACGCAATGACAGCAGTGGGAGTTGTGAAGTAGATCTTTCGGTGGACTTGAACCCACTACTTTCAGGTCCAAAGGCCAATGCTCTACCAACTGAGCCACTGTTGCATAGGCCCATTTCATTTTAATATTAACAATAATTTTGATACTACATTGAATTTTATACCACAATAATAATAAACATGCTTCTTATAGACAATGAAATGTACTTTGTAATCTAATCCTAATCAAAAACAAGGAATCTTCCATAGTGTCAGGAGGGGAACCTTCAAGTATGTGAATGCAACCTATTTAATACATAAGATTAAGATTCAGAGATCCTTTATTCGTCCCACTGTGGTGAGATTTCAGTGTTATGTTAAAGAACTGTAGGAATGAGTAGCACACGAAACAGCATAAGTGAATATTAAGTATAGCACAACTCTATACTTTAAAAATAAAACAAAATCTCTATCTTTAGCTTAATAGCTCAGGCCAATGCCATCTACAAGAAAGGTCAGAGCAGACTTTTCTTTCTGAGTAGACTGAGGTCCTTTGATGTGAGCCGTCAAATGTTGCACATTTTTTACCAGTCTGTGGTAGCTAGTGCCGTGTTCTTCGGGGTTGTGTGTTGGAGCGGTAGTCTGACCTCGAGAGACAGTAACCGGCTTGACAGGCTGATCAGGAAATGTGTCTCTGTGATGGGGAGAAGTGTGGACTGTGGGAGCTGTGCTGGAGAGAAGGATGAGGGCTCTACTGCAGGCCATCCTGCATAACTCCAGACACCCTCTGCTATGGCCGCTCAGAGGAGTAATCGAAGCAACAGGCTCCTATCACTGCGCTGACGAACGGAACGTTTCAAGAGATCCTATGTTCCTTCGACTGTACAACAAACCTGACTGACTGTATAACAAAAAAAAAAAGTCTTCTGCTGCTGGGTACCTGAATTTCTCCTACGGGGGATCAATAAAGTATCCATCTATCTATCTATCTAATAAAGAAGCAAGTAAAAATAGTGCATCCTCTAGTGCAATAAATACATACTTGTATGTATGCATCTGCCAATAAATCAGTAATACACTAGTCAAAGAATATTAGAGTTAGGGTTAGTCATTGGTACAACAGGTTTCGGGGCGCTTACCTTGGCGAGCAGCGTGACCAGGTCTTTGAAGGTGCGCAGCTCCTCTCCCTCCAGAGATCTGTGAGAGGCCAGCTCCACCCTGAACAGGTAGTGCAGAGCTGACTCCAGATCAGCTGCGTAAACCAGAGATCTACGGACCCAAACAAAGTCAGGACTGAAGCAAATGCTTTTTCACTGGAAGCGTGTTCATCCACTTCTTTTTTTTCAATAGGACCCCAAGTACTTGACTATAACTATACTGGTTTGAAGATTTGGCAGTACAATTAACAAAAAAGGGAAAAAAGGCCATGGATAAAGTCGAGGTTACGTCAATGGTCATGTGTAACACAATATGGGCATATCTAGTGTTGGCAGCACTGACCGGTCAAAGTCCCTCCAGGGCGGCTGTGTGCTCTGGTCAGACAGCGCCCCCTTGTGTGGGTTGAGAACACTGCTGTTAGTGTGAATCTTCCGCTGGACTCCGGGCAACGACCTGAGAAGTGATGTGAAGAAGAAGCGCAGTCTCTTCTCCCTGCACACAGACAAGCTTTTACTGGGATGACCAATGCACCTGGTCAGTATTTGAAACAGGAGTGAAATCTATTCAAGCACAATATAAGTTGTTATATTTTCCATTCTTCTGGCATCAACTAGCTTTCATGCCTGATTTTGTCCACCTTGGGATACGGAGTTTAAGATTATTTCCAAGTTAAAATATTGTGTAACGTGTTTAGACGACATGTTCCCTTTTAAGATCCTTCATTCGTCCCACAGCGGGGAAATTCAGTGTTGCATCGTAAGTTACAGAACAGTAGAATTGAGACAAAATGCCTGTGTAAACAAAGTCGGTCAAATCACTGTCAGAGGTAAATTGAGATAGTTGAAGAAACGGTGACTTGGATGCAGTAGACTAAACTACAGCAAGATTTAAGATGCCCTTAAGATGTTTTTTGCTGATGGTAGATATTCCATTGCTTTTAGTTTTGTGTGTCCTTTTCTCCAACTCACGTGTGGACTGTGTGGTGGGAGCTGTTGGGCTGCAGCAGATGAACCGTGGGCAGCTCTTTGATTCCAAGCACATCCACCAGGGGGCGATCTGAGCTCACAGCCCTGCGCACCACCACCCCAGAGTACTGCAGCAGGTCCAGGATCACCTGGGCCACGACGGGGGAGAGATCAAGGCAGGTCGGAAGAGTGTTTTTGTAAATCCATGTATGATCCCTAACAACTGACCAATCCTTCTATCCCCAAGTTTGGCCTCTGCGTGGGCAGGAACATCCTGGTGCCACTCCTGATTGGCTCTTTGGTTTCTGGGTAGGTGCTATGCAATAATTTGTCTCCAGATTCCCTGTTTGTGTTTAGCTCTAATCAGTTTCTTCTGCAGTAAAACAAGCACTATGGATGGCGTCAGTTCTATGTGTCCACTCATTGGCCTTTAAGCACATGTTTCTAAATTTCAGGTTTTTGTGTGTGAAAAAAAGAAGAGATAGGTTCATTACTTCTTTCAAGAATTTTATGACTATTTGAAAATTAGGGAAGTACAAACTAGCTTTCTACAAATGTTCTTGACAAATGTATTGCATTTATTCTGATAGTAGCAAATAGTCAGAAATGTCAAATATTCCATAGAATATAGGAAATTAAATAAAACTGAATGCAAGGTTATGATTACATACAGGACGAGGAACAAGAACAGAATTGTGCAGGACTCACTTCTCGGCCAGTGTATGATTGTGGCTCTTCGATGATCAGGGCAGTGTAGTGGTCAGACCTGAGTCCCAACAGCGGCAGCAGCTCCACAGAACTTAAACAAAGAGTTTACGTTAACAAAAATTTCTTTTTTCTTCTAAATCTAAAACTAAATTATTAAATCTATGCAAAATAATTAGCCTGGCTCCAGCCAAACTTTACCCCTGCTTATAAAACATTCCAGCGGGCAGTTCCTTATGTAGGCGGGCTGAAGTTCGGCTGGAGCCAGGCTACAATGCAATAGATAGATTTTTTAAGACATTAGTTAAAGAAGCTATACCCAATTTGTTGTCTAATGAGTTCATAAAAATGCGGATTACTACGAACACGTATTAAAATCCGTAATTTAATTGAAAACTTGCGCTCATTGATTCCGCTTGTGTATGAATTCAGGCCGTAAAAAGGGCAGAGTAGAAACTTAGCGTGACGCTAGCTCTCCTCCAATCACAGAACGAGGAGCAGCGCTGTTACGAACAGGCTGCCCCCTCCAGCGTCTACAGCGCAGGTAAACAAGAGCAGCATCAGTGTTTCCCACACATAGACTAATCTGTGGCGCACCGCCACAGATTAGAGACCGCCCGCCACAAATTGCGTTTCGTATTATTATATATATTTTTTTTTTGTTACGCTATTTAAAACATGCATCGTCTAGTGCCGCCGCAGCGGTCAATTTGACAGCGGGGAGGGGGGTTTAAAATGTGGCGGCCCTTCGTAACTCTCACTCAAGCTACGCGTCTCTCCCACATACAGAGACCTACACACACACAGCCCCTCCCCTTCGTGCACACCGCGTGTCTCCGTCTCCATCAGCGATCATCGCTGTAAGCAGCTGTGTCTATTAATTTACCGCGGTAAAGTGGCCCGCATCTTTCAGCTCTATGAACATGCGGCCCGCATCGGGGAAAAGACGGTGCGCGTTTTGTTGAGAACTTACGGTAACAGCGGAACGTCCTTTCGGAGTCACCCATTTTTATCGAACAGAAAGCGCGCTGGGGTCAGGGAGACACGTTTTTGTGATTAAAACCTTATAGAGATGCCACCCGGCACACATAGCACCAGCCCCCTACGATTCCTCCTGCAGGTTGTGAGTCCTCAGGAGGATAGCCACTCTATTGTTTACATGTATAAAGTACACAATTTGGTCCGCTAGTGCAATTTTCAAGTATTGTAACTATTTACTGGAATAAGGTGTGCGACTAATTTCACTTGACTCATGACCTTATTATTGCCCTCTGCCACTGTACCAAAGACCAGAAACTTTTACTGTAGAAATATTGAGGTAAAGTAGCCATTTTGGTCCAAAATACCTCCAAAATAGTCAAAACATGTCACTTTTGATCTACTGTAACTTTTTACTGTAAAAAGGTGTGCGACTAATTTCACTGGATTCATGACGTCATGATTGTCCTCTACCACTGTACCAAAGACCAGACACTTTTACTGTAGAAATATTGAGAAATATTGATTTAAAGTAGCCATTTTGGTCCAAAATAGCCTAAAAATGGTCAAAACATGTCACATTTGATCTACTGTAACTTTTCACTGTAAAAAGGTGTGCAACTGATTTCACTGGATTCATGACCTCAACATTGCCTTCTACCACTGTACCAAAGACCAGACACTTTTACTGTAGAAATATTGAGAAATATTGAGGTAAAGTAGCCATTTTGGTCCAAAATACCTCCAAAATAGTCAAAACATGTCACTTTTGATCTACTGTAACTTTTTACTGTAAAAAGGTGTGCGACTAATTTCACTGGATTCACGACCTCATGATTGCCCTCTACCACTGTACCAAAGACCAGAAACTTTTACTGTAGAAATATTGATTTAAAGCAGCCATTTTGGTCCAAAATAGCCTAAAAATTGTCAAAACATGTCACTTTTGATCTGCTGTAACTTATTACTGTAAAAAGGTGTGCAACTAATTTCACTGGATTCATGACCTCAAGATTGTCCTCTACCACTGTACCACTGTACCCCACTCCCCGCCGACGACCACCACACATTGCCTTCAAACCTGTGGGAAACACTGAGCATGTTAGCAGAAAGTGGCTATAACTCCTCTGGCTGTAACTGTAGGCACAGCAAAACAGCCCAAAAGACGCTAAAATGAGGAATAGAAGAGGGAACTAAAGCGAAAAAATGATCAAAGAAGAAATCAAGCCCGGGTGAATATACGTAGCGTTAGCTTACATTGTATCCTCTGGAGAGACCTGCAGGAGCGAGACCGCCTCGGACCATCTATGCTCGGACTACATTTGGACACGAAACTAGCGGTAATCTTTCAGTTATATATTTTGTTAGCAGTGCGTTACTTTTGTACCAGTGATTGTTGTACAGCTTACAAGAAGTTGCACAAATGCTAGAGTTTGCATACGTATTAGATCGCAAATAAAACTAGATGGCTTCATAGGAGGAGAGCGTAGGGGAAATGAGGAGCCTGTGGGCGAGTTGGGGGGTGGTGCTAAACATTGAAACTGAAAAAAACCTTGCAGAAAAGGGTATAGCTCCTTTAAGTCAAGTTATTGGGGTTAACATACAGTGGGGCAAAAAAGTATTTAGTCAGCCACTGATTGTGCAAGTTCTCCCACTTAAAATAATGACAGAGGTCTCTAATCTTCATCATAGGTACACTTCAACTGTGAGAGACAGAATGTGAAAAAAAATCCAGGAATTCACATTGTAGGATTTTTAAAGAATGTGTTTGTAAATTATGGTGGAAAATAAGTATTTGGTCAATAACAAAAATTCAACTCTATACTTCGTAATATAACCTTTGTTGGCAATAACTGAGGTCAAACGATTACTATAGGTCTTTACCAGGTTTGCACACACAGTAGCTGGTATTTTGGCCCATTCCTCCATGCAGATCTTCTCGAGAGCAGTGATGTTTTGGGGCTGTCGCCGAGCAACACGGACTTTCAACTCCCTCCACAGATTTTCAATGAGGTTGAGGTCTGGAGACTGGCTATGCTATGCTTTTCACATTCTGTCTCTCACAGTTGAAGTGTACCTATGATGAAAATTACAGACCTCTGTCATTATTTTAAGTGGGAGAACTTGCACAATCAGTGGCTGACTCAATACTTTTTTGCCCCACTGTATGTGGTACAATGCTTTTGGAATAATATTTCAATCCCAATATGATATGACCAGTTTTCCTCATTGCCTGTGTGTGTCTGCACTGTGTGACGGGGGGCTCACCCTTTTTAGTTTTCCGATTAATTGAGGCACGTTTTGAGTTACGAGTTCACTACGTTGAACAACAGGGATCAGATGAATGAACACATTTTAGGCACGGTGGCTGAGTGGATAGCACTCTCGCCTCTCAGCAAGAAGGTCCTGGGTTCGAATCCCGGTTGGACCAGGGCCTTTCTGAGTGGAGTTTGCATGTTCTCCCCGTGTCTGCGTAGGTTTCCTCCGGGTACTCCGGTTTCCCCTACCACTAAAAATATGTACAATAGATCTGGCATGCGCCTCCTGTACTGGCACCCCCACTCCCAAAAAAATAACAATTGTAAACCGCTTTGAGACTCCGATGTGCAGTGAAAAGGCGGTATATAAATAAAGATTACATACATTAAGGCTTTTTGTGTAGTTTGTTTTTAATGTAAAAGCAGTAAGTTAATGTCTCACTTGTATGTGCGCAGCTCTGGGCACTGCTCTGGTCTCTCCTCTCTGGTGTGGTTTTGCAGAATGTTCACCATGAGCTGCCTCACAGAGGGGATCTCTCGGTCTCCCCCTACAGGATAAACACATAAAAACATCAATTGTGGCCTAAAATATAGTTATCAAACATGGTGACAAAAGCACACTTTGAAGTTCGAGCTAAACAGATAACCCAGGACAATCTGAAATCGGCAGGGAGGCTTAAACAGCACCAAACAGTTCCGGATGATTTGCTTATAGGTTTTGTAAACAACTTGAAATTCAGTGGCGTCAGTTATTACAAAGGTAATACCTAAACTAAGCAATGACTTAATTTGAATGAGTCGACATGGCACCGTCCACTAAAACGCATATGGATACAGACCAGAAAGTACATGGGTGTTCATGTTTACCAGTAATTATATTTTAGTTCCTTTCCACCACATAGTGAACACTCTAAACTACTCACCTCTGTAGATGGTTCCTCGCTCAGCTGCTCCACTGTGTGCTTTGAAATACTGCAAATAGGACAAAACACGTCATTTCAGTTGCAGCCCCCTTATAAAGCCATACTAAGCCTGTTCATTTTTACTGCAAGGATGTAGTTTCAATCAACATATACAACTAGTATACAATATCTGTAGGTCCCCAATGAGAAGAGAATCAACCTATTCATTTATCTTGATAAGAGACATTTGTCCAAAACTGCCAACAGTCAGTTTTAACAGAACTTCTTGCCGGCACAAACATCTCCAGGCCTGGTTTTATTTGGTTATTTTAAAAGTTCGTAAAAATATGCAATGATTTTAAAAAAGGCCTATGCTGAACAAACCAATTCAAATAATCTGTATTTTAAAAATGTATCAGTTGAAAAATTGCAATATTGTCAAGATCAATTGTATGCTAAACATCTATGTAAATGTATTAATTAGTTGGTAAATTGATCTTATAACTACATTTCCCCTTTTGAAAGAAAGCATTCTCACCTGAAATGATAATTAAATAAAGATTATATTGTCTGCTATATTGGTAATGTGACATAAATATCAACATAGGTTATAATCATAGTCAATGTGAGCCACTGATTATCACAAAGACAAAAACACAGTAATGTTTAATACACAGATATCTCAAATGGAAATCGGAGCCGTGATAACCTTACATACACGATTACGAAGTGTAGAGTAGGGTTGGAAACGGCTTAACCTTGGTCAGCATGCAGCGTTTTGGACAAGTACCTTGAAGGTGGGGTAGAACTTGATGCCATAGTCTCTGCAGAGGTCAAAATTGTCCTCCAGAGCACAGTCAAACACAGCCACACCGATTGCACCCTGCCAATCTGAAAACACACATTATTCCTTACCATTTTATTTACAGTGTTTGTCGATGCTTATACACCGAACATAGTAAGTAAAATAATAAAGACAGCATTAAAGTTTTCAAATGTAACATCAACCACGGGTACTTTTTTAAAACTCATTCAAATCCATGCAACAGGTAGAATAATTTGGACATACTCTTAGCCTGAAGAATGTAGACTTTCTACATTCTGAAGAATACTTAGTAGTATTAAAAAAAATAATATCCATTGAATATCGAACAGTATATACAAAACAGAGTTGTAAGGTCGTTGTTTTTTTAAGGGACTGTGTGTATTAATAAACCATATTGTAGCTTTTGAGGCAGATTTCCATCTGTAGTCCCACAAGATTCCTGCCTTTCCACTCTCACAGATGGAACGCTCTCCGAAATACATTGCAAATAAAGACAAACATTGATAAAAACCAGAGCAGATGGAGCTGAACTGTGTCTGCTGTGAACTGGACTGTACAGGTGGGAGTATTTCCAGGCATGCACAGAAAACAAGAGTATGCTTTACAGAAATATTTAGTATATAAAGTTTTGGTTACACAATGGAGAGTCTGTAAAATTCTTCTTCTTCAACAACAATGCAACCTACAACTGTAGGTTCCCAGACCTGAGGGTCTCTGCAGTGTAGATAGTTTGGTCAAATTGTGTCCTTTAAAAAAAAAAATAGTTTAGTCCCAATTCTCATGTCTAGACTCTTTGTGGTTTCTCTTTTGTGGTTTTTGATTAATATTCATCCAAAGTGAAAGGGCCTTAGGCCATCTGCCAGTGGACTCCCCACCACCTGCTGCTGTTGCTCCCAGATGCATCCACCCATTCTCCCACCACCCCCAAACACCAGTGACACACGGCTCTCCAGCACAGTCCAGCATGCTTGCACTGATCCAGGTGGTGTGTCCAATGAGGTGTGGCTGACACTAATTTGTCCATTTAAAGACAAAGTGTTAAGTTATCTTTCATGTAATTTACTTATTGTACAGTAAAAAAAGCAAACGTAACGGGTACACACTTTAAGGCGCAATACTTTTTTATCCCGCAAATTACACACACAAAAATGATTGTACTATTTTCAATGTGTCTTTTTCAGTAAGTAAGTAATCATTTTTAAGGGTTGTATAAGCGTGCTTACTTATTCGCTCCTGACCCATAAAACATCTGCCACATCCACAGGGTTTGCACTAAACAGTTGAAATAACACTAAAGCTCGATCATCAAAGCCACCAGCGTTTAATAGAAAAACTTTGCACACGTGTCTGTGGCAGGCTCTTGTTGCCAGGAGACACGAGCTAACATTTAGCATGTAGCTAGCAGAAAGCCGCTAACAGATGCTAACGCTTTTGTTTTGAAACTTTACTAACATGTTAGTGCCTTTGACGATGCCACCTGCTGACATATAATCAAGCCGTTATGACCTAAAACATTTCCTCGACTACATAAATCATTCACAGAGAGAGATGGCTGCGAAATAGATTGGCATTAGCCCTTTATAAAGTAGCTAGGAAATAAGTAATAAGCTAACTAGTTAAACTATAACGTAGACAATTAATTAGGTGTAACTGAACAAAAACGACTATCAGAATTTAATCTAATTAACGCGAGTGCAGGGCGAGCAAGTAGTTTTTGCAACCATCTCCACATATGCTTTGGATCACAGCTGTTAGAAAGAGATGCCCGTTCTGACAATGACAAGATGATTGACCAAACTAGATATTTTTTGTTTAAATAAGTTGAACTTTGAAAAGATCTAGAGTAAATAACGAACAGTACTATATAATACGTATTTCTAATGCCGTTCTAAGAAATTAGTGAGCAGAATTAAACCAACATATGACGACACAAACTACCGTTACATCATTTAATGTTTGAATCAGTTCATCCAACTTGGATTAAACTATGTCAGTCCTTGCAACAAAATATCTCATAAAACTTAGTTGTAGCTTTAAATGTGTCATGCTAGTCCATGTTATAGTGAAGCTGCAGGCTGATTTAAAAAAGAATGACATTACCTTTCACATCTCGAGCCAGTGCCTTCCATGTACCCGAGTACTGGATGCAATGCCCGCACCAGGAGGAGTAAAACTGGACCAACCAAGCGCTGGAGGAGTCGGTCAGCGTGGCCCGAAGACTGTCCTTGGTTAGGATCACCAGCGGGTCCTGCTCCGTGTATAAGCGGGTGGCAGCGCACTCAACGGGGGGCACGAGGGTCAGGAGCACCGCTGAATGCAACCACAACAACCACCGCGGCATCACTCGCTCTGCTGCTGCCATCCGCCGACAAGCGTTCACACAGAGGCTCTGCCCAGTGAGCTCCGACCACACGCTCCGCAAGCCAGCGATCCAGCTACGTGGTGGTTACACAGGGACGGATGTCGACAGGATGCTCACTCTGGTGAATACTGAGAAAGAACTATTGTTGTATTTATTATCCCGAAAAATCTTCTGAAAAGAATTAAATTAAAAAAACTAAAGATCGCGATTTCGTGTGTTTTATAAAAGAGGACAGATTGGTTTGAAGACTTCCTCCTGGTTTGTTCCAAAAAAGATCTTCGAAAACTACGGAGATGACGTCGAATGACGTAGATAGCTTCGTGCATTTCCGCTGTTTTCCAATGAAAACAAAACGATAACACTTTAACATCAAAAGAATGACGCATTAACGCTAAGAACAGGCAGTAGAATGTAAAACTTAAAATTGTACAGCTTTATTTTTTAAATATTTGTCCGCGGTTAAAAGTATATTGAATATTGGGATCATTTAGAAAAAGCATTTGTTAACAATATAAATACATGTATTGACATTTTTGTGAGCGTATATGATCTGTTATTGCCAAATGTATAACTATTGTTTTTAGTTCTTGAGAAAGAACCATACAGTATATCATAGCATAGTGAAATTGCTCATCACTCATTGCTTTCCTGGGTTATTTAGCACAAAGTCTCAAAATGTGTTTTTATTGCAAATTTATGCATTAAGAAACACAAAAACAAACACATGCTGTTTTCACACATCCAGGAGCAGGTGTGCCGGGTGGAATAAGGTGAACAAATGAGGTCATGAGAAGCTGTCCAGGTGTCATGATTCCGCGGGTTGACTCTTTGTGCGGTTCTTCTTAGTTTTGGATTCAAGCCCAGAGGAAAACTCTGAGCAGAGCAGTTCTGAATCTCTGTGAGAGCCGCTCCACCTTTAAACAACACACTGTTACTACACAAGCCTAGCGATCATTAGACAAACTACATAAAGCTGGTATGATCCAAAAGCAAGTCAGTTGTTCACTGGACCATGGCAAATTACATTAAAATCATCCTGGAACCTTTTTTATGTTGCTCACAGAAAAACAAACACTGGTGATCACTTTACATCCTGGGTGTAATGTGTAATGTGTACCTTAACCATTGAAAGCGAGGCCTGATTGAGGTCACCAGGGATATGAATGAAAATAAAAGTTGATTAAAGTTATATATTGGATATTTAAAGCCTGTAAATTGGTTTGTAATAACTAAATCTTAAATCTGACCCCATCGATCTTTACAATAATTTCTCACCTTTTCTTTGCTCCTTGCTCCTTACTCCATTGCGATGCATTTCCTGTTTTGCCTTTCTTGTTCAGTCTATTCTTGGAACTCCGGGCGACATTTCCAAGACCTCTGGGGGCATCTCTCAGTCCAAAGCTCTTGGCCATGTGTCCCAAGTGCAGGTGACGGATGTGGAAGATGTGTTTAAGGTGAGATGGGTAGGTCGTGTAGGCCCGCAGAAAAGCCTGCAGAGCTGAGGAGGAAACAGACGAATTTACTTCAATTCCAGAAGGTTGCATTCAAATCGGCCGTTTATCTTTGATGGTCGCGTGGAGGACCACTTAAAGCTGCACTAACTGACTTAGTTAGAGAGCCACAGATCTTCCTTGTTTGAAGTGACCTAATACTTATTTTCCACCATAATTTACAAATAAATTCTTTACAAATCCTACAATGTGATTTCCTGGATTTTTTTTTTACATTCCGTCTCTCACAGTTGAAGTGTACCTATGATGACAATAGGACAATAGGAGGCTGACTAAATACTTTTTTGCCCCACTGTATGTACTATTATATTTAGTTTAAGTGTTTTGATTGGAGAAGAATACACAAGAAGTCCTATCGGTGCAATTTCTTTTGCTGGGAAATGAATGATTTGGCTGATGATTTTTTTTATCAACTGGACTTTCAATCAAAGCAAAAATAATAAAGACAGAGACAGCCACTGGATTTACAGGGTTAGTCTCGCCACGGGGGAGGAGTTTGTCAAGCTCTGTTTTATGCATAGACCATGTTTTACGTTGGAAATTTACCAAAGAGCTGCACAATAGTGCTTCCCCGAAAAACACCAATTCAAACACTGCTCAAGAGTTCTGCAACTTGTTTAAATTCTTCTTCATGTTCCTTTCGTCTTTCTCTCCCTCCTCCCGTCTCTCTCTCCCTTGCGTCTCGGAGCCCTCTCCCTCCTCGCGTCTCTCTCTCTCTGATGCGGAGCAGAGTCAGCATCTAGATGTGTTGTGAGATTATTAAAAGAAGCTGGTTCCCTTATCTTTACAGTATATAAAGTTTGGGAATGTTATTGCATTGGCGATTTAATGCTATTTTATTAAAATAATGATGGTAAATCTGACTTTTAAAGTCAGTGCCTCCCCAATCACAAACCTCACCGCACGTCACTGATCTGCGCATGAGTCAGTCGGCGAGGGCTCCGTTCATTTAAACAAATCCCTTCAAAAATTCACAGCGACTAAACCAGAGTGGTCCAAAAGCCAAGTGGGCCAAGAGCCAACTTTTGGACCATCCTGTAAAGACGTTTTTGAGAGGTAAGAAGATGCTATACATTAGCATTGGCTAATTCTTTTTCCCGGGTCCACACCCATCGGCCCGGGGTGGTATTGCAAGCATGTCAGCGCACGTCATTTTGGCTACTTTTGAGCCGGGACCCGCCCCCACTGGTCTCTGCACATGTTAGATGACGGTTCAAGTCCCAAGACGCATTTGTTCAGACAGGCTTTCTCGCCTCACTGTAGTTAGGCCTTTGTGAACAGCCTTTCGAGGCTTCCAAATAGTTTTCCTGGCCATCTTCCATTCAGCCATGTCGGAAAAAGACTTTCATAAATAGGTTTTTTTAAGCCGCTGCGTTTATCAACATCCGCAGGTGCTCACGCTCGTATCTGGGCAGATCTCACACGTTCATAAATCCCACGCTGGATCTAGCGTATTTGGAATTCACACCCAAAATATACACCCTTTTCTGCGCAAGTTTGATAAATGAGGGCCATTGAGCATTTAATCCGAACCATAGACAGTAGCCCTCAGGCCATTGGGTCATCTGGAGGAAGCCTTCTGCTTTAAAAAGGTTGGTGATCCCTGTTATACATATTAGCAGTAGTTGTACCTTTCTTAGCACCGCTGATTCTCTGTGGGTCGGAGTGAACAAAGTTTTCAAACTCAGTCTGTAGAACGGTGGCTCTCTCCTTGATCTCCTGCTCTCGAGCCTTTTCTGAAGTCTATAGGAAAACACAGCAATGATAGAAGAAGTTATAGTCAAACCACAGAGCGGAATAAGACCTGGGCCTGCGGACTCCTATACCTGATATCTATTTCCACCTCTAAGAACAAATTTGTACAGACCAAACAAAAAGTGAGAGGCTTCCCAAAATATATCGCATGCAATATTGAAAAAAGGCATGTGCAGAGGCTCACCGAACAACTACTCAAACTACTGCCTGCAGTAGTTACCATCACAGTATACAGTGATGTCAAGTGTCTTTGTGCATGTCTATGACAAGCACAAGTATCATCATCATCATCAATATTACAGGGAAACAGGGACCATAGTTTGTATTGTGTGTTCCTTTTAGTCTCACATTTTAGTGTTTTACTTATTGTATTGTTTTTAGTGTACCCAGTGTTTCCTCTGGAGGAGCCCTCTGCACTGGGAGCAGTGGTCGGTGTGGCTGCGGGGGTCGGACTCTTGGGCCTGGGGCCTCGGTTTCGTGTCTCCTCTGGGTCCTGTGTCGTCCCCTGTGGCTACGGGCGGCTCTCTGCTCCTGGTGCAGACGGCTCCTTGGATGACGCTTGCTTGCTTGCTTGCTTGCGTGTGTGCGTGTGCGTGTGCGTGCGCGTGTGCGTGCGCGTGTGCGTGCGCGTGTGCGTGCGCGTATGCGTGCGCGTGCGTGGTCTTGGGCCGGCTGTAAAGCACTTTGTGTTGCATCTTTTGTATGAAAAGCGCTTTATAAAGAAAATTTGATTGATTGATAGTTTGATGGTCAGAAACACCATCCGTGTTTCTGACCATCAAACTATGGAAATGAGAAGTAGTGGTTTTAGTGATTCTCACCTGGCTGTAGTAATTTCCCCTCCCTCTATAGCGGTCGTCCTTCAGCAGCACGGACAGCAGTGGGGTCAGGTGCAGAGGCTCGAGGTCCAGACGGTGCCGGTTGAGTTCTGGGATAAAGGCGGTCTCATGTGGTCCGAGCAGAAGCAGACTGTGTCCGCTGTGCCCCGCCCGTGCTGTCCGACCGGCTCTGTGCACATACTCAGCCACTGACATTGGAGCAGTGAACTATCGAGAGGAAACAGCAGTTTATGCAACATGAATTATAGGTTATTCAGTTTACCTCTAAAACATGGACATGAACCTCTTTTTTGATGTTGAAAAAAATCCTTATACCTTCTGTATATAAACTAGTCTTCTTGCCAGTGTAGAGAAAATAAGCTAAAAGTTCAATTACCAGCCAGGTATCAGAGAGAAGCTTTAGATTTCATCAGGTCTCAAATATTTTTTTTAAAAACATTAACAAAAAAAAACAAATGTGGGGCGACAGTGGCTCAGAGCATCGGCCTTTGGGCTTGAAGGTCGTAGGTTCAAATCCACCATGAAACCTACTTCACGACACCCACTGATGACTGCTGTCGTTGTGTCCTTGGGCAAGACACGTAACCCGACTTTGCCCTAAGCCCCCACTGGAAGATCAAGGCTCCTGTGGACTCACCACCTGCAGGAGGATCAGTGAGGGGCTGGTGCTCTGTGTACTGGGTGCAGCTCTGACTGCCACCTCCCCGACCCAGAAATGGATTAAGGGGAAGAAAATGGATGGATGGATAAACAAAATGTTTGAATAGATGAGAAATCAACTGCATTGTCAGTCAACTCTCAAACGCTCACCTCATTTATTTTATTTCATGAAAATTCATATAAAATGATTGAATTGTTACTACTCGCTATCTGACAATTATTCGTTAACCTTCTGCTGTTTTTAGTAGTTTTCAACTATGTTTTGTTTTTTAACGCCCCCATCGAGGGGTCATTTTATGAAACTATGAACACTAAGTTTTTTGTTTCGAGTCCTTTACCAAACAACCAAAGATGTTTCAATCACATTCACAATGTTACCTGCACGATCCATGAGACCTGAGGCAGATCCAGGCCTCGAGCTGCCACGTCCTGAAACACACACAGTTAGAATACAGAACTGTCTGACGAGTCCAAACATGTGGTCAGTGTACCGTGCACAGCAGCACTCCAGAGCAGGCCGAAGAAAACTGTTTGAACACCTCCACCCGCTCCTGCACACAAAACACACACACATCAGCACACACCACCAACACAGGAAGAATACACTCACAACAAGTTAGGGACAACTTTCACAGGTGAGCTTCAAGTGTTAAAATATTTCAATGGACACATTTGTTCAGCCCGTGGCCTCAATCCTTGTTCTAACACCCGTGTCCTGGATCTATAGCCTTTAACATTTATGGATAGTCTCGATTCGTTCCTGGTAAAAGGAGTGGGTGGGACATCTACAAGAACCGTCCTCTCCTCGGCCTCTCAGTGGCCGTGTCTCCACACTGTAAACCCTGACAAGTAAAGTTTACTTGAAAACACCTTGGAAATAAATTGCATATTAACGTCAGTTGAATTCCTCGAGTACATACTTTACTTGATATTACCAAGTAAACTCAAGTGATTGCAATAAAATTTAAATTTCAACTTTGCTCCGACCGGGATTCGTACTTACAACCTTGTAGTTGGGAGGTGAAGGAGCTACCCACTCAGCCACCAGGCCACCCTGTCATTGACACACCTGCTTTAGAGTCTACACGTCAAAATGTCAAAAGTGAGGCTTACTTGAACAGAGACAGTTCAATTCAAAGAAAACCCTGAGTGATATAGCCAAGCTTTAAATAAACTAACAATAAACGAGTAATAGTTCAGACAGAAGACTGAGGCACTCAAGTTACAAAAATCTTTAAAAGCCTTTATTTGACATGGCAAAAAGAGGTTAAAATTACGCCTACGCGTTTCAGCCTTCTGGCCTTCTTCAGGGCATACTCGAGAGGAGTGTCTTTAAAGAGAATGGTGCTTATCACATGGTCAGTGGGCGGGCCTACAGTCACAAGGTTTAAAATCTGGAAAAAATATTGAAACTCCCAAACAAAGTGCATAATATTATGTACACACCTATAAAGAATACAATATATAAGAAATATAATCAATGGTCTTTTTTGAAAAGTACTTAAAGAAAAGGAGAATAGTCCAACTCCCCATTTAAGCCTGGGAATTGAGTGGCTTTTAAAGTATATATCCAGTAGGACTCTCTTTGAAGTAATGTCTTGAGTCTATTTCCTCCTATTATTGTCTCTGGAATATGCTCAATGTCACAGATCTTCAGGCTACTGCAACTTCCATGGTTGGAGTCTCTGTAGTGTAGAGCCATTGGATATTGTGGGTTTTTTGTCCTTATAGCTTGCTTGTGTTCGGCCAGTCTGTTTTTCAGTTTCCGTTTTGTACGGCCTACATAGAAGCGGCCGCAGGGACACTCAAGTCTATAAACTACAAAGGTAGTATTGCAATTGATGATTGTTTTGATGGTGAAAGTTTGTCCAGACGAAACTTCCATAAAGTGATTAGTACGCTGAATATGGTCGCAGTATGTACAGTTTCCACATCTATAACAGCCACTTTGAGTGTTCAGCCATGTATTTGATTTAAGGGGTGGAAGGTAGCTGTTCACCAGTTTATTTCCAAGTGTTGGGGCTTTTCTAAAACTTACTGTTGGTGAATCTGGGAGGGCCTCTCTCAATGTACTGTCGCTTTTTAAGATGCTCCAATTCCTGTTGATTATTTGTTTTATTTTATTGGCTTCTGTGCCAAATTCAGTTACAAAGTAGACCTGGTTACAACAGTCATTTGACTTCGTTTTATGTATTAGCAGTTGTTCTCGATTCTGATGTTTTACTCTGTTGTAGGCTGAATCTATGGTGCTGGGGGTGTACCCTCTGTTCTTGAATCTCCTTTTCATTTCTTTGGCATTTTCCTCAAAGTTTTGGTCTGTGTCACAGATTCTCCGTAGTCTGCATTGAAAGAAGTACTCAGTGATAAACACAAAGAACATAAACTGCCTTTTGAGAAGGAAATACAAGAAGGATTAGAAAAATTACGTAATGAAATAAAACAAGAGAAATTGACAAAATTCAAAAGAGACCAGTCGGATTATAAAGAGAATACTGTGTACAGATGGAAGACAATCAGCAAAAAAACTAACCTTTACAATAAACCACAGAGACAAAGAACAGTCTCCTTCCAACTACCAAGCAGCGAAGATGAATACTCTGGTGTGGAAGACCAACGTGCCAGTTCTTTTTTAGAGTCAAGACCAAAGAAAGACAACCGGATTTGGAGACGAAAAGACGCAAGACGAGACGGAGCAGGAGAAAATCCAAGCCAGCCCAGATACACCAGGAGCAGAACGCGAATGAACAACTAATAAACATATCTGGCATTCCCCTCACATCTACCCAGATGTCTGTGTTGTCTAAGGGATTAACATTTGCACCGACCAATAAAACAAAGGAATTTCAAACTAAAGTCGACTTGTTTAAATTTCATCGTCACCTCCAATTAAAAATGTGGTACCATTGTAACCCTGGTCAAGCTGCCACCCGTTCAGGAGAATATCAGAATAAAAGTCAAGTGTTCAGACCAGTCTACCTTCACCCCTAATGTGTATAATCAAACACTCAACACATTCTACAAAAAAGTAACATTTGAAGTAGACAATCTTTTTTCTTCAAGAAAGAAGAACACATAATATGACTTATGAAGAGAAGAAGGCACTAGAAGAACTTTCTGAAAATGAGAACATTGTCATCAAACGAGCTGACAAAGGTGGAGCTGTGGTGGTGTGTGGAAGAGAGCAGTACATCAACGAAGCCAAACGGCAGTTAACCAACAGCGAGTACTATGTTCCTTTACAGTCTAACCCCATGGACGAGCTGACAAAAGAACTTACTTGTATACTTTTGCATGCTAAAGAAAACAATTGGATTACACAGAATGAGCATGATTGTCTACTTTGTAAGGACCCACGCATACCATCCTTCTATATGCTCCCTAAAGTACATAAAAATATCGAAAACCCACCAGGAAGACCTATAATCAGTGGGAATGAGTCTTTGACTGGACCCTTGTCTAAATACATCGATTTTCACATCAAACACTTTGTAAAGAGTTTGCCTTCCTTCATTCAAGATAGCACACAAGTCCTAAACAAAATGAAAAGGATCAAAAATATTGGACATGGCTATCTAGCAACTATGGATGTAGAGTCTTTATACTCTAACATCGACCATGAAGACGGAATATCCGCACTGAAACATTACCTTTCAACAAGACCTCCAGAAACACTCCCCCCTGCTGACCTTTTGCTAGAATTGACAGAATGGACATTAAAGAACAATGTATTTCTTTTTCAGCAACAATTGTATAGACAACAAAAAGGCACTGCCATGGGAGCCTGATTTGCACCAAATTATGCAAATCTCTATATGGGATTTTGGGAAGAGAAATACGTGTTGTCAACGTACAACCAATATAAAGACAAAATATTGTGGTGGGGTCGGTAAATAGATGATGTTCTACTTTTGTGGTCTGGATCTGAACAAGAACTTTTAGAATTCCATACTTATTTGAACACCAGCAATATCAATATCAAACTCAGTCTAGATTATTCACTAACAGAAATACATTTTCTAGATTTGAATATATACAAAGACAGCTATGGGGATCTACATAGCACAATCTTTAGAAAACCTTCAGATAAGAATACTATACAGCAGACAGCTTCCATCCTCCATGGCTGTTACAAAATATACCAGTTGGTCAATTTCAAAGACTACGGAGAATCTGACACAGACCAAAACTTTGAGGAAAATGCCAAAGAAATGAAAAAGAGATTCAAGAACAGAGGGTACACCCCCAGCACCATAGATTCAGCCTACAACAGAGCAAAACATCAGAATCGAGAACAACTGCTAATACAGAAAACAAAGTCAAATGACTGTTGTAACCAGGGCTACTTTGTAACTGAATTTGGCACAGAAGCCAATAAAATAAAACAAATAATCAACAGGAATTGGAGCATCTTAACCCTTTAAGCGCCAAAGTCGCAATATTGCGACAAGCAACATTGCTCACTTAAACAAGCTGTATCTAAAAATGTGGTGCAGAATCTTGTTAATACTTTTCACCAGGGGTTAGTGGACATGTGTGCCTGTAATATGAGCAGCATTTCTGGGTGTGGTTATATTGAAAGTTTTTGAGTAAATTGCGTTCGTAAAACACCTGTGGCGCAGCGGCGCGGAGGCGAAGCAGCTGCGGTAGAGCTGAGAGGAGCGAGAGCAGAGCAGAGGGAAAGAGTGTTTTTTATTTTACTGACGAGGTCTTCAGTACCAGAGAAGTACTTGGTCTGGTACTGGCTCACTCAGAATCAGAGGAGGAAGACATGCAGGTGTCCAGTGAAGCAGACATGGACATTATTGGTGACAGGGAGACCGCGCCATATAGTCCACAATCAGCCCCTGTACAGCGGCTGCTTGTCCTCCGTGTGGCCGCGGTAGAAGCATTCTGTGAACGCCAAGCAGGGGCCGTGGTCGAGGGGACAGGGGGATCATAACACCGGGCATGTGGGAGAAAGTAGTGGGGGTAGACATCCACGGGGAACACGGGAGACGCGGGAGAAGTCGTGGGAGAGCCGCGGGAAAAAAACACATCGCTAATCGCGTTCACTGCCTTTACCAACAGCTATGATGAGGATGAAGGCAGTTCTTGAGAGAAAATAATCCACAAAAGTGGATCAGAAGTGTTGAAGAGCCTGTTTGTGCAGATCTGTGTCCACTTGAACAGTGCATGTTGTTGAGATGATCTGACAAGTTAAAAAAAGTATTTTGGAGGATTTCCCAGGTATCACCAGAACGATTGAAGTGAGGGACCAACTAGTCTTGATGATCCACCCGGAAGTAGAAATCTCCTTAAACTGTTATCGGTCCTCCAAGGGTCACATATCACATTATCTTATGTTAAATATCTATTTATAGGACACTTCTAAAAGCTATAACATAGTAATCGTGTGTTGGGATGTGTGTTTGTTTGCACAAGATATTCCAGAAATGTATCGCTGCTAATTTATCTCTAAATGACACATTCTTAAAATCCCATCAGGCGCGGCTACTTGGCTAAGTTTATTTATTTATTACTGGCCCAGAGCATATTATGAACATTTCTGTAAATATGCCTGAATTAGCAAAGCGGCTATTTGTTCATCTGTAGTAGCTGTTATATATTTGTATATTTTGTTTTGTTGATGTAGATAAGAGAAGCTTGTTTTGATATCACGGCAGAAAGGCCCGTGTTTCCGACGGGATTCGAACCCAAGCAAAAAGCTACCACTCAGGCCGCCTATCCGTTTAAGTGTAAACAAATCTTATGAAATGTTGGGCACAATAACAAAGAAAAGTATGTAGAGAGCATTTATAATCCAAAACATTATTTGACCTTTTGTCAAGTCAGTTGAGTTTAATTTGAAACAGAGGGGAAATATTTGGAATATATATGTTACTAATGTATAATAGTACATCGGCCACAGGACAGAGGTTGATTATTGGTCTGAAGCAGAAGTCCAGGAGTCTGTTGGGGTTTGGTGTTTTTGTTGCTGATGTCGCTCCAGCCAGTGAGCTGTGGTTACCCAACTTTTCATTTTTTTAATAAGCTTTAGCAGCGATGATATTATAAAGAAACTTTGTGGTTATGGCTTAATTGGCTATACATTGTTTTCTTCTACATGAAAACGAGTTATCTGGCAAAAAATTTGAACGAGGTCTGCAAGTCATTTAAAATGAAATATTACATGATCTTTCAGTTATTTCTTTTGAATCAAGAGTTTAGTCCGCATTGAACAATTCCTCCATCAATCACGGAGGTCAATAAAGTTTGATCTTGATTGCGCCTAAAAGATTGCTCTATATTGGGTCATGATTGAGCTCGTTTCCAAACTGATTCTTGGTACTTTGTGGGCAGTTTGTTATCTGCTCGTTCAGTATTTATCTGCTGGCCTACACGGCACAGGAATACATTATGACTGCGGGGAATTTAGGATCTCGTAGCTTTTGCTCAGTGTGACATGAGATCTGAGACGTGCGTTTTCTTTCAAGAGCGGGTCTGTTGGACGTCGCGCTTGGATCCTCTGAGCCTCAGACCCAGTCCCAGCTGGTCTGTCTGAGCTCTGGACTGTTCAGTTGAAGCAGACCCCTAGGCCCAGTCCAACACTACCGGGGTTCACTCTGACGACCTGAGGGCGACCTGTTTGACGGTTAGAAAACTCATAAATACAGCCCTCTAAAGAACTATGAGCTTATTCACTTTTAAAACAGAAGCTTTTCAACCATATTCAAACTTTGTTCTGGGTGGAAAACTTATCTGTCACCACAGTGATGACCTAGCCCAGAACATTGATCAGGCTATGTCAGTGTGAGGTTTTTTATACAGAAACACATGGCTGGTCGGACTAAGGGCGTTTTTTCAGAAGTTTATAATTAAAAACTCTCGTACAAAAAACAGTGGGAAATTAAAATAAACGTTTTTACAGAACACAGTGAAATCTTCGGCGAAAAGGATATTGTACAAATAAAAATACACCGACCTCTGCAATAAGTCTCTTTTCCCTTACTTTCCATCAGAGCTCCCGGCAGTCCACATTACCTTCACTCGTAAAGGGGCGTATCACACGGAGCTTAACTTCGGCGTCAAAAGCATCAGGTTTGCATTGAATAGTGGAAGGGTGAGCGGCTTTCCGGTGAAGCGAGGGCCCGGCGTCAACTTGGGCGCGCGTCAAAAGTTCAAAGGTTCGCGCGTTAATACGCGCATCACTGAAGTTTTGACGCTCGTAACGTCGCTCGTATCAAAAACAAGTTCCCTTTGACGCCGAAGCTGAGCACGCTGAGCTTTTGAAGCTTTGACGCTGGGCTTTCAACCAATCAGGAGACGAGGAGCAGCAGCTGCAGAGGTCTGTCACTGGTCATGAGAGAAGTCATGTATCTGCTGCTGCTGGTTTTATTGTCATTATTGTTATTAGTAATATTATTTGTTTATGATAGTAACGTTCTGAGTAACTAAAATCATTGTACACATGCTGTCTAGTAAACGTACTAGTTTTTTAAAATAAGACAGGCTGACGATGGTCTGGCTCAGAGCAGGCAGATCCGGGCGTGAGAGAGAGCGTGGAGAGGCGGAGCTCCGGGGTATGAGAACTCAGATCTGGGGCGGAGTGACATGTGGAAGTACCGCTGAAAGCGTGAAACTCCTCCGTACGCAGCTCCGGGAGTAACTGACGGACTCTGCAAACCACTGCAGCATCTCAACGTCTGTGGTGAACCCAGAACAGAACATGTTTTGTTGAAGCCCTACAACAACGTGTATTCTACTTTATATTTCTTCTCATTGAAAAATCCACCGCTGTCCTGATACAGGACAACAGAGAAAGCTCTCCCACAGACAACAGAGAAGCTCCTCCCCAACCGGCCGTCAGGCGCGTCACTCGCGTCAAAAGCAAATTCAAGCATCAAAATGACCAAAAACTATCCCGGCGTAAGTTGAAGGCGCGTCAAAAAGCTTTTGAAGCATTTGGTCTGAACGCGGCCTTAATGAGTCACACCCCCAAATGGGGCAGACAAGCACACGTTTTGTACTCTGCGGGCCCCTCCCACATTACAAACTCAATTATTCCTAATATTACAATGCATATCTAACTACATGAGTTATTCCGTAGGAAAGGATTTCATATTACAGTTCCACATGACACCATTTATCATCAAATACATTGAGCTACACACTACGAAGAGTCAAATGTCCATGCAAAAGAGCTGTGGTCACATGACCACAGGACAGGTGCATTTAATCCTTTGGCTCCTTGTGTCGGGTTTGCCAAAAACGCACCACGGGAGTCGCCACGCAGCCACGCCAGCACAGGCGAGGTCCGACTGGCTTAGTAAGCCGAGTGAAAAGACACATGTAACTAGATTGCAACAGCCCCATGTGTGCGCCCTGAAGGACGCGTTACCGCCTCGCTACATGTTCACAAACACAATCCTTACTGCCAGTAGTCAATGAATGGGTTTGGGCTTTGCGCGCAGCCACCATGGCACCGGCGCGCCCGCGGGATCAACTTCAGATACGCTCCGTGGGACAGAGTGCTCAGGGACGGGCTCATCCCCGTCACATCGAATAATAAGGGGGTTCAATCTGAGACAGAAAACAAACAATTCCTGGGTTCTAAACAAAAGATGACGGCAGCAAGAACACTGTCCTCTTCATACTGTAGCAGCGGGATCGCAGATCAGTCCGTAGTGGTAGTATTAGTGGTATAGTATTAGTGGTAGTATTAGTGGTAGTTGGGGCTGGGGCAATAAAACGATAACGATATATAAGCGCGATAGACACGTGTATTCGATATCAATGAAAAAACAAGGTCGATAGAATGTTTGATAGTTCTCTGTCACTTTAAAACAGGGAAGAAAACACAGGACAACAGTTAAAAAGGCATGTCAGAAGCACATGCATTCTGGGGGACGTAGGCAAAGATTCTCAACCCTATCACAGCCGAGTATAAACCGCAAAGCATTCTGGGAAATGCAAAAAAAACCAACAACCGCAACAGTTCTGACAGCACAATGTGTATAGTCGTCATGGATCTAAAGATTGTGTTTCAGGCCGTCTTGTCAATGGTTCTGTCCGGTAGTGAGGAAACGCATGTGGCAGCAGAGGGAACAGAGACTCATGTGTGGCTATCAGAGAGCTATCAGAGAGCTATCAGAGTAGAGCTATCAGAGAGCTATCAGGAGCTGCACTACGGAGCCGTCCACAGGGACACAAGACACTCAAAAACTGCGCGGACTGAACAGAGAGCTAAACAGGACTAAACCAGGACCTTAAACCAAGGACTAAAACCGAGGACCTAAACCAGGACTAAACCAGGACCCTAAAACCAGGACTGACTTGGGGGACTCTGTGCTTATGACATTTGCCTTCGCCTGCAAGTTAGTCATTCCCCGTGACTGTAAACAAGGGCTGCTAACGTCTGTTAGCCGACACACACAAACAAATGTAGTTATTTAGGTTTTAGAAAACCCCCCAATAATAAACGATATTGACCGCTTTGGAATCACTTATTATGTGGATATCGTTTTCAGTCATATCGCCCAGCCCGAGTAGTCGTAAAGGATTTCTCTTTCAAACGTTATGCAAAAGAAAACAAATATAAATTAAAACAAGACACCAAAATAAAACTGTTGAAAGAAGTCAGACGCTTATTGGCTCCAACCACTTCACTCATTCTGCACAACACACACAATAACACACGCAACACTATCGCACGCACCCACACACCAACACACGACCAGACACAGGCCCGAACACTCTTGACCACACACTTCCCGCCCTCTGCTGCTCGTGCTGAAGTCCACACACTTTATACATTTGTTTACTGATCTCATACCTTTATTTTTGATTCACTCTTCTCATAAAAACATGCACTGACATCACACTTTTGTGATAATACTAAGTTGTCTACACTACATCATCCTGGCCTCCATGACACTATTTTTGTTTTCTAGTTTTCTACATTTAACATGGATTAATAAATTGTGACCGTTTTTGACACCCTTTGTTTATGATTGCTGCAGACGCCCGGTGTGGAGGTGAGCAGCTCTGGCCCGCCCCCCTTTGGCACCACGCCCTCCTTCCCCCCGCTCAGCACACCTCTCTGGAAGCCAGGTATTAACGATATACAGGGCCTCGTGTATCTCGGGAGTGTGGATCTGTGCACACGCAGAGACAGAAACACTAAAACTGCACACACGCTATTTTACGTTGCTCACGCAGTTTTAGCTCCGGGATAAGTATAATGAACCTGTAATATTTACATTCTAACATTATCTGTAGAGAAAGTACAGTCTCTGTCTTGTCTCTCGTTCTCTTCTCTCTTCTCTCTGGTCTCTCTCTTGTCTCTCTTTCTCTCTTGGTCTCAGTCTCTCTCACTCTCTTGGTCTCTTCTCTCTTTCTTCTCTGTTCTTGGTCTCTCTGAGTCTGTTTTTTCTTGTCGCTCTCTTTCTCTGTTTCTCTCTCTGTCCTGGTCTCATTTCTGCCTTACAGGAGAAAGTAAGGTTGGGTCGAAAACAGGACTGGAGGATGGAGACTTGTTTTGTAGACTCGGTTAACAAAGTCCACTTGGAATTATTACTCTATTGCGTTCAGGGTTCAATGTGTTTGGCCAAAATAAAATGCCTGTGGTTGTTTTTCTGATAAAAAAATCTCGGCAAATGTGTTTACATCGTTTTAAAGACGCCCCTTTTTCAAGGGGTTTTATTTTTTTTGGAGGACCAACTAACCATTAACTTGGACGTTCACTAGGGGCGCCTGTTGAGGTCATCTGATGTCTGTTTTTTTGTGATTACTCTGCTTGTGACTGCAACAGTTGGAGGATGATGAAGAAGCCAAGGACAGCGTTGACTCCGTGGACATCTCGGTCCCAGTCCTGAGAAATTGGATCAGTCTCTGCTTCTTTTCTCCTGATGTCACAGTGAAGCAAACCATGGAACCATGAGGCTGGAAATGTGGCTTAACTGGACGCATGGGATTTCGTCTTTGCGATTCCTGCTTTTTGATCTCTCTCTCTGTTTGTGAAAGGAGAACATATATATCTGACTGAGCTTGTAATAAACCTAGTAATAGATCTGGGAACTGGGAACAAATGTGCTGTGTAGGTTTGGGCACAACTCAATATTAGAGCGATTCTTTAACATTGCAGACCAATTTTGATTCATGTCCCTCGACGTTTACAAAACATGGCGGACAATAAGACTCATCCCAGAAGCCACCTTAAAAAATTTTTATAGGTGGCGATGTAAGGCCTTATAATTACAATTACAAAAATACAAATGCATGGTAATGATGTGTGTCTGAGCCGGAATTTTAAGATAATTTAAAATGCACTTAGAGTAATGTTTTGCTTCCAATGATGATATGAATCATAAGAAAAGGAGGTGAAGGGTAAGGTTGAATTTAGAAATTGGATTTACCCGGGAGTCGGCTGCAGCAAAACTCGCAGTTTACGGAGGAGACACCCGTTTTTTTTTACTTTTTAAAACTCATTGAACTTATTTCCAAATGGAGGATTACATGTCTGTGCTCAAACTATTATCTGGACTTAAACATGAAACTGGTCCTAACTGAAGTGGTCTGTGCTGTTCATTAATACCTAAGGTATAGGCCCATAACACACTTTGTACTTTTTACAAACGTTTGCGTTTTTTATGAGAAAACTATGCAGACATTAAATCATATTCTGCTGTAGCCAAACAAATTGTGTATAAGCCGCTCCTGTTCCTGTAGGTCCTGTTGGTTTATATGATGTATAATCATATGAACACATGATTGATCCCCCACCGCACGTCACTGGTGTAGCCAGGTCTCTAATCTGCGCAAGGCTGAGAAAGAGCGCTCAGAGGCTGCGACAGATATTAGCCAGACAGAGCTTCATAAGCACCTCCGACAGCATGGAGCGGGTTTTGGGCTGCAAGGAACGCAGGATAGTGATAACTTCTCGCTCCCGGCACACGCGGAGGGGGTGCGGCCGCACCCCCCGCACCCCTAGTTCCGACGTCTATGAATGGGAGGCTGCAATACAAATTACTGGTGAGATATATTAATCTTGTTAACATCTTCAGAACAGTCTGACACTGTAGGGCTGGGCAATAAATCGAATTTAGGCAATTAATCGGCTTTTGAAAAATCAAATTTGTGAAAAATTTGAAAATTGTGAAATCGGATGAAGGATATTGTGAGAGTTCCAGCAGCACAGGAATTATACTTACAATATCAGCACAGTCTGTACAAGACTTTTATAATACGTATTGGGGGAAACAAATTTAAAATAGTTTTGAAACTTTAATTTTGATTCGAAAGATCAAAACATATTTTTAAGGACAAAGTCTGTCTTCAGTGACTTTAATGAAAATCAATTTTAAATCAAAATCGTCCAAAGCAGGAAATAAAATTGAGATTTTACTCGCCCAGCCCTACACCGTAGCTAGGTGTCACTCATCAGCTGATGGTACTGAGTAGACGTGATTGGCTTAATGGTTCCAGTGTTTCCCACAGGTTTGAAGGCAAAGTGTGGTGGTCGTCGGGGGGGGGGGGGGGGGGGGGGGGGGGGACTGATCAAAATATCAAACATTATTCACACGCTGTATATTACACTATAAATACTGTTAACGCTGTATAAACCTACTTGTTGCAAAAAATAACATTATTCACACGCTGTATAAACACTATATTACACTATAACGCTGTATAAACCTACTTGTTGCAAAGTTTGCATGTTTTATCAGAGCACCTGATTTTAACTTTATAAAGAAAGCGTCATCGCTTGTTAAGGGAGTCGGGACGGAAATTCAACATTGACACTGAACATTCAGCACTTTTTAATGTGTGATTTACGAGATCACGGGATACCAACCTTTAGTGAACTTCACCAGCCGTCTTCTCTGCACCAAAATTAATAGACACAGCTGCTTACAGCGATGATCGCTGATGGAGACGGAGACACGCGGTGTGCACGAAGGGGAGGGGCTGTGTGTGTGTAGGTCTCTGTATGTGGGAGAGACGCGTAGCTTGAGTGAGAGTTACGAAGGGCCGCCACATTTTAAACCCCCCTCCCCGCTGTCAAATTGACCGCTGCGGCGGCACTAGACGATGCATGTTTTAAATAGCGTAACAAAAAAATATATATATAATAATACGAAACGCAATTTGTGGCGGGCGGTCTCTAATCTGTGGCGGTGCGCCACAGATTAGTCTATGTGTGGGAAACACTGGGTTCTGGCAGGTCACTCGGACTGACCCTGCGTCCTGTCACTGTGGTGTATGGAGTACTGTGTGGGACAAAAGAAAGTGTCCATCATCACGCCATTGATGACATCATTGCCCTGCCTTTGTAATTCAATCCCCTCCATAAACCAGTATTTACATTTGTTACTGTTAAATGGATGCCCTTTTTTTTTTGTCTTTCAATGATTCAGATTGTCTTAAATGGAACAACAATAGTGTGCTTCTGATCTGGACTGAGATTTGGTTCTGACTTATATTGGGGAATGACCAGAATGTATAGACTGAATAATATGTGTATAATAGATTGTTTATATGAATGAGCTCTTAACCTCTGCAGCAGCAGGAGTTGAAGCCAATCACATCCCAGAATGGACAGAGTGACATTGTCTACATCCAGTCAGAGTCACCCTTGAAGCCACACCCCCCCACACATCTTCCATGCCCCGCCTACTCTATCTCGGACCAATCGTACGAGGCGCTGTTCGAACAGGCATTACCTCGAGCTGCGCCTCTCTTTGTGGCCAAAAAAACGAAGGTTGGTAAGACGGGTGATTTGTTTTCATAATCTTCATGCAGTTTGCATGTTCTCCTTTCTGGTCCGGTTTGGCACAAATTACTCTTTAAAACCAAACAAACCCTGACTTGAAACAATATTGGCATTTCACATGTCTTTTTTTTAACAATCCAGCAATAGACTTGTGCGTGTTTCATTAAATATTGCATATAATGACATTTAGTTAATTGGGAAAGTATGAAAATACATCAAATGTCTGGTAAAGCAGTGCTAGTGCACCTGATTAAAAAAAACAAGAGACCTGCTGTGATGGGCAGGGCATTGTGCCAGTCCTCTGCCTGGATAATGGGTAATAATAGATGAGTCATGAGATGGTGTCAATGATATTATCTATTTGAGCAGTGATTTGTTTTTTTTAAATGAGCCTCTCTCAGGGCTGGACTGGCCATCGGGCGTACCGGGCAATGCCCATGTTTGGGCCGGTCTGTCTGCCTCATACAAAAAAATGTTTGTGAAAAGGGTAAATCCGTTGAGAAATGTTCGAGGGGGCGCGCGTGTCCGTGGGGCACCTGCTGTATGTACTCAAACGGGATTCTGCCACCTCAGCGGCCGCAGTGTTCCCGCATCCAGCGGCTCTGAGCTGGACGCAGGAACCGCTCACCGAGAACCGTTCACAGCACAACTTGTAATGTAGACTATTGCAGTTTATTTCAATTGTTGAAACTGCAGACATCCTGATCCTCTACAGTATTTGCTTCCACATACTGTATAAACCAGGGGTCGGCAACCTTTAGTGTCCCTCAAGTGGCTCCTGGAGCCTTTTCCAAAATGTCTGAAAATGGAGTGTGAGGGCTATATTTTATTTCTAGTTTGAATGTGGTTTCTGTAGGTTGAAAAACATTCTTAACGTTTTTAAATGCTGCAAAAACGTATATAAGTAATATTCAATTTCAGCATTTCTGTCAACGTAGTGCGTCATATCCTCTGACGTGTAAACAAACCGGCGTGGGTGCATCATAGACTGTGTGTGCGCATGGATCCCAAAGCTAAAAAGAGAAAGAGTCGATAAGACTGGACTAAGAATGAGAATGAGCATTTGCTTTCAGTCAATGAGGTAGGACTGCTTCATGTTTGCGATGTAATGAAAAGTTTTGTTGCAACACGAGGAACAATGAAGCGCAAAACACCGTTCACTGAAAGATTAATTCATCATAAAGTCAGAGCACCTATTTCAGACTTCAAAAACCTCCGCAAAGACGGTGAAAGAAAAGGCCATTAAGGACATTCAGCTCCAGCAAACTTCAGCCTGTGATGTGGTCGATATGAACAGACAAAAAGAGTTGTCACGTGGTGCGTCATTCTCTCCAGGACACGCTGCAGTGAAAACACACATTTGATAATCATGAATGTTTTTTATGTGTTTGTAGCCTTTACTTTGTCATTTAGATATTAGGCTAATATAGCTAGTGTAGCTAAGGTAGCTAATGTAGCTAATACAGATTCAGCCTCTGTTACCTTCATATAAGCTTTATTACAAGGCTGTATTTTTTTTGCGACTCCAGACAGATGTTGTTTTTAGTTTTTTTGTCAAATATGGCTCTTTGAACCTTTTGAGTTGCCGATCCCTGGTATAAACAAACTGTAAAAAACTTGAAAGTACATGCCTGGGCCGCTGAGAAGGAAAAAATGCCGTTTTTTTGTCCCAGTCCAGCCCTGGCGTCTCTTATGTAAAGAGAATGGGCAAGCTGTTAAAAATGTGACGAGTTAATTATTATTTTTATTTTTTACTACATATTTATTGATCTCAAATCAGACTAAAACGTTTGTTATTTGTGTCCTTCAGGAGGCGCTGCAGAGAGCTGAGCTGGACCGCAGTCCTGTTTCTCCTCTGGAACTTTTGGACCAACTGAGACCAGTCCAAGACATGCTAATCCTCCAGGGAGACCACGCCCACCAGCAGCTACTCATGTCAGTGTAGACTAGGGCTGGGCCACTTAAAACTGTTTGACATAAAATGTTTTTTATAAATACATTTTGTTTGTCCACAACATGCTGTATTTATCTTATTAGAAAACATTTTATCTTCTACATATTGAGAGCTGATTGGTTTTTGTCTGAAAAGGTGAAAAGATACAAGCATGTGAAAACTAGTGATAGAAGCAAAAAAAGTTTTTTCCCCAAACTATTTTTATTTTGATATTTCCTCCTCGTATCGTGATTATTTGGTCATATTGCCCTGCCCTAGTTCAGACATTGCTTTTACAATTTTACTTTCACATATCAATCCACTTGATAGACACTTTTCACTTTAATGATCCTCATATATACTGTTTATTTAACAAAGACAGGGACTTGCATTACAATACAATAATATACAGGTTCAGGGTTTTCAAATTATATTAGTTTTGTTATCTCTGGTCTCATTTGGCCTCTGTCTCGGCATGTGTCTTAACATGAGAAAAGTCAAAACCATTTTGTGTTTCAGGTCGGCTGTGAACAAGTGCATGGACCGAAGCTCGTCAGGTAAACAAATGCCTCACACTAAGCAACTTAAGATCCATTTAAGAAAAAGGGGACAGATGCCAAATTGCCTCAACTTTATTATAATGCGGGGGTCGGCAACCCGCGGCTCTGGAGCCGCATGCAACTCTTTTTGAGCCTTTTCAAAAATGTCTGAAAATGGAGTGTGAGGACTATATTTTATTTCTAGTTTGATTGTGGTTTCTGTAGGTTGAAAAACATTCTTAACGTTTTTAAATGCTGCAAAAACGTATATTAGTAATATTCAATTTCAGCATTTCTGTCAACGTAGTGCGTCATATCCTGTGACGTGTAAACAAACCGGCGTGTGTGCATCATAGACTGTGTGCGCATGGATCCCAAAGCTAAAAAGAGAAAGAGTCGATAAGACTGGACTAAGAATGAGAATGAACATTTGCTTTCAGTCAATGAGGAAGGACTGCTTCATGTTTGCGATGTAATGAAAAGTTTTGTTGCAACACGAGGAACAATGAAGCGCAAAACACCGTTCACTGAAAGATTAATTCATCATAAAGTCAGAGCACCTATTTTCAGACTTCAAAAACCTCAGCAAAAACGGTGAAAGAAAGGGCCATCAAGGACATTAATTCAGCTCCAGCTAACTTCAGCCTGTGATGTGATCGATATGAACAGACAGTGCTGTGATGCAGATTTATTTACTGTATTTCTACAATTGCATGAAGGCAACAAAATGGAAGTTAAAGTTAAAGCAGAGTCGTCACGTGGGGCGTCATTCTCTCCAGGACACGCTGCAGTGAAAATACAAATTTGATAATCATGAATGCTTATAATGTATTTGTAGCCTTTACTTTATCATTTAGATATTAGGCTAAATTAGCTAATACAGCTTGCAGCCTGTGTTACCTTTTATATAAGCCTTATACAAGACTATAATTTTTTTGCGGCTCCAGACAGATGTTGATTTTTTGTTTTTTTGTCAAATATGGCTCTTTGAACCTTTTGAGTTGCCGACCCCTGTTATAATGGTTTTCATTTTTCATTCAATAATAGCAAGCCAAAGAAATAAAAAATTAAAAAATGGGTCTCTTACATTAGAAATACATGCAAGACAAACGCGCAAATATGGTATAAAAGCATAACAGTGTCTCTTCACTAGGCCCTGCCTCTCTGACTCCATCTATCGTACCTGCTGCAGTTTCGGTGGAGGAGCTGAGCATTGAGCTGCTGCTGGTTCATAATCAGCTTCAGTTTGAGCGTTTTAAGAGACAACAACACGCCATGAGAAACCGAAGGCTGCTGAGGAGAGTCATCCACACCACAGCCCTCGAAGAGCAAGTCAACGCTACGGTGATTTATCTCTTTTAAAGCATGTTATTAACTATTCCCTTATCAAAAACTGAGCTGTTTTAAGCTTCCTCCATGCAGATTTTATTCGTATGAAAAATGCTCATAATAATGATCATTATTGACATCAAATTACCTTCCTTACAATGATTAGATAAACTTTCTTGATCTCACAATGGAGAAATTGTCACATTTGGCATAGACAGAATCACTCAGATTGTGCAAAAAGACAAGTGTACAACATGTTAAGGTTAAAACATATTTATTATGGCTTGAATTTATGTGGGGATTTTCAAGCACTTGTAGATGACTATATATGAAACTCCATAGCTTGGAATCCAGTTTGATATGTTCCATATTCTCCATAGAACATATGATGAGGATAATGATTAATACATGACATGCATAATATTGTCGCAGACTGAGATGGTTCTGCCTGAAGTCTTACATAATTCTTTGGGCAGAACCAACATTACCCCAATGGTTGTTTTGTTGCTTGAAACGAGAAACGCCGGATATAATTGAAAAGTTTCTCCCTGTGCTGTAGGGGGCGCAGCTGAGCGTACTGGAGGCGGAGTTACGTTTTCTCAAAGACAGTTTAGTGGTGGAGCAGCGGCGCTTCTCTGAGCTGAAACTTCAGTCCGAGAGCACCACCGCTCAATTGCAGACGCGCTTACAAGACCTGAGCTCCAGCCAGCAGGGGGCACTACAGGACAAGGCCCGCCTCCAGGTAACCCACTTCTGGTTCACTTTCACTGGACCTGGTTTGGTTCACTCTGGGGAAACTAAGGCCAGGACTCCACCGTGCGCGTCTCCGTTGGCGGGCGTTGGCTGCTGCCACGTCCGTAAAACGGAATAGTGGCCAAACCGCCTGCAGCAGCGCGCAGCTCTGGCTGTGCGTTTATCAGCCCCCGTGAGGCTTTGTTTTAAATAGAAGAAGCGGTGTGCACGCATGAGCTGTGGCTGTGATCAGTGCAATGCACGGCATATTGAGGCATCGAGGACGTCGCGATGGATGAGGCAAAACTTATTGAAAGCAATTGGAAAAAGGGGAGCGAGATCACAGATCTGTTTCAAAACTTTAACAATTATTTTGATCATGGATTAGTGAATAATCTTGCAATTAATTGATTAGTTGTTTACTGCAGAGATGTTAATTAGTATCTATATTTGATACAGAAATGGCTTAGGGGAAGAGATTTAAGATGAGATCAGATAAGATCAGATAGACTTTATTGATCTCAGGAGAAATGTACATGTCACAGCTGGCATGGATAGAATCACTCAAGCTCTCAGCTCCTCTACAGTCCTGTGCAGTGGGTGGGAAGTGTTGTCCATGATGGAGGTGACTTTTAAGCTGCACTAACTCACTTTGTGAAATTTTCGAATGTAAGCTCTTCTGCTCGCCCTCCCCGCACTCACGAAGCTATCCCGCTCTGTGCTGCCCGGGGCCCAGCATACGGCAGCGTAGTGTATGGTAGACACTACCACAGAGTCATAAAAAGTCCTGAGCAGAGGCCTGCTCACTCCGAAGGGCCGCAGCCTCCCCAGAAGGTGGAGGGGGCTTTGGCCCTTCTTGAACAGGGCGTTGGTGTTATGGGACCAGTCCAGTTTATTGTTAATGTGAACACCCAGGTACTTGAAGCTGTCCACCAGCTCAATGTCCTCCCCCTGGATGTTCAGCAGCGTGTGGGAAAGTGGTTTTCTCCTGAAGTCGATGACCATCTCGTTGGTCTTACTGGTGTTCAACCACAAGCGGTTGTGCTCACACCAGTCGACAAAGTCTGTGATAACCGACTGGTATTCCAGTTCCTTCCCCTCAGACATACAGCCCATGATGGCGGAGTCGTCAGAGAACTTCTGCAGGTGACAGCTGTGTGTGTCGTATGTGAAGTCTGAAGTGTAGATGGTGAAGAGAAACGGTGAGAGGACAGTGCCCTGAGGTGCCCCAGTGCTGAGAGGTAGTCAATAGTCCATGCAGTGATATGACTATCCACTCCCGCTCCTCCATCTTCCCCCGCAGCAGTGCCGGTCTGATGGTGTTGAAAGCACTGGAGAAGCCAAAAACATGACCCTCACAGCGCTCAGGGCGGGTTCCAGGTGAGATGACAGCGTCCTCTACTCCGATGTTGGGCCTGTAGGCGAACTGCAGCGGGTTCAGGGTGGGGCTGAGATGGGTTAGGTTGTAGATGTACTGAGGACCTCAGAGAGCTGGTCTGTACAGGTCCTCAGCAACCTGGGACTGATCCCGTCCGGTCTTGCGGATTTCCTCTGCTTCAGTCACTTGAGCTGACTCCTCACCTGGTCCGGTGTGATGGGGAGTGGGGGGGAGACCAGGGTGCATTGTCAGAGGTGAGGGCTGGGGATGTGGGGGCAGGGGGACTCAGGGCAGCCGAAGGCAGTGTCCACTAGGCGTGTCTACTGGGCTGGAGACGAGTGAAGAGGTGCGGGCAGATGGAGAGGGGGGAGAATCAAACCGGTTGAAATATTGGTTTAAATTCATCCACCCGGCGCTGGTCTCCATCCCCTGTCCCTCTGGCATCCCCCTGTCCGGTTTCTGTCCGAAACCGGACAGAAACCGGATTGCATTTTCGGATTGCATTTTCAGATTGCATTTTTGCAGTTTTGTAACGCTTTTATTCTTTTATTTCTATGTAGTTTCTGCTCTTAATCTTAAACTAACATCGGTCTTTCTATAGAGCAGTTAATTATCAAAAATAGTTGACAAATATTGAAAGAAGCCATCATTACAGGACTAATACAGGATAAGGCATGCCTCAGAAACCCCATATCAGTCAATCTCCAGTATCAACAGCAAATGATAAAATGATTAGTTGCTATAGTTTTCACCAGCATCATATTTTGTGCCATTTCCAGAGTGAGCTGCAGCAGTGCCAGACCCGTCTGAAGGAGCAGGAGGCGGAGCTTCAGAGAGCCAATCACAAGGCTTATAACGCCCAGCACCAGCTGTCACAACTGTCTATAAAAGTCAGAGCCCATTTTTAAATTTAGATCTAAGGTGTTATCACGTGTGACTTACTGTACATTTGTGTGTTTCTTATGTATTCGCAAATGTGTGTGTGTGTGTGCACCTGTGCAGGTGAGCAGTGGGGAGGAGCTCCAGCAGCACCTGTGTCTTATGAACCAACAGATACTTCTGCTCCGAGAGTCAAACCGAACTCTAAGCCAAGCTCTGAGTGCCTCGGAGACGAGCTGTGACACGGTAAAGTTTCACATCAGCACCATCTCCAAGATATAAATCATTCGCTTTGATTTCCATAAAGTCCTCAACACCCTCATCTTCTCTCGCCTCTATTACCGGAACTGCCTCCTCTGCGCTCCCAGCAGTCAGACTTCACTGGTTTTAGCAGAAGGGAGCACATCTCCCATGTCTTAGCGTCCCTCCACTCGCTCCCTGTGCGTTTAAAAAAAATATTGATATTTTACTGATCACTTTTAAGGCTCGTTTAGGTCTGGGACCAAACTTAGATCCTCGGACAGGTCCCTGTTGGCCGTTCCAAGGTTGAGGTTCCAGACGAAGAATGATTGAGCCTTCTCAGTCCGGGCTTCTCGGCTCTGGAATGACCTACCCGAGGAGATAAGGCTACGGCAGTACCCTCTTTGAAATGACTACATAAAGTTGTAAACTTTACATTTTATTGTTCTTCATTGTCCTTGTTTGTTTGTTTCTCCTCCTGTTTTAAAATGTTTTGATCCAAAACAATTGTGGCTTTTATGTGATATGGCTCTGATACGATCAATAGGAGGCGTTGCTGCTGCAGGGGGTTGTGGGTAATGAAGTGCAGACTTTGAAGGAGAGCGAGATGCAGCTTAAACAAGCCCTGGATTCAGCCAATCATAGAGCAGCAGATCTCGAGACCCAACTCGCCCAAAAAGACCAGCTGATCCTTGACCAGAAGAAACTATTGGAGGACTGCAAGGCTCACAGCAGGTCAGGCCATGGTTCAACTTGTGTTTGATTAACTCATTTAATTCCATTTGTCACTCTATTTGTTGCTGTTGTTGCAAAAGCAAAATCCTTCTTTTATGTAATAATTTTAATGCGACTTTAGCTATTTAATATTAAAACTGCTATGTGTCTGTGTGGTCAGGTCTCAGCTCTCGGCCTCGGAGTCCCGCTGTGTGGCTCTACGGTACATCACTCAGAGTCTTCAGACCGAGCTGCTTCACCTCTACAGCCAGGTGCAGGTCCAGTCCAACCAGAGTCAAGACCAGGACAAGGACTGGAGCTACAGCAGGTGTGTGTCTATGTTCATTCCTCACTTTCTCACACACAAGAGTTGGTAATTGCTTCTACAACGCTCTCATTCTGAGGGGAGTTTGCATGTTCTCCCTGTGTCTGCGTAGGTTTCCTCCAGGTGCTCCGGTTTCCCCTACCACTAAAAACATGCACAATAGGTATGAATGTAAATGAGAGAGTGAATGGATGGTGTTGATTGGGGGCTGATGCACCAGCGTGTTCGGCGACTCGCTTCCATCATCACCGTGTGTGGAATGATTGGAACGATATCTGAACTCTGAACATTGTAAAGCGCTTTGGGTGACCTTGGTCTGAAAATTGCGCAAAATAAATAAACATTACTTACTTACTTACATACTTACTATTCGCCATCATGGTAATCTAACACCTCACCATATTGGCTTACATCCCTGTGTCTTTGAGAGTTAAAAGCTTTATAATTGGACATGACACACACAGCTGCTTTTTCACCTTTGTAATTCTGCTCAATTACATGGGGAAAAAATCTCAATTCACTGAGTCAAGGCATGATGGTGAAGGACATCAGAGTGAAAAGAGGTAAAGACACATTTAGAATTACGTGAAATTTAATCATTTCCCACTGCGCACCTGCCAGTAGTACCAAGGCATTAAGGTTGAAGAAATGGTTTAGAAATTAAAATATTTGACATAATAAAATTAATTATAATTGTGACATATTTTCTTTCTTCAACAGGCCCCGCCCCTCCGCTTCTGTTAACATCGCAAATAGTGCTAATGCTAAGCTCCAGCCTCTGTACTCTCCTCCCGTCGAGTCTCCGCTTACGGTCGGCTCTTTCCTCGAGCAAGAGGCTCGACGGCTGTTTGGACCAGCCAATCAGAGCCCAGAGACAGGGCAGGGAACTAATCACAGCCCGGAGCTTGCAGAACTAGAGAGTCCTGTAACGATTGTGTTGGACGAAGCCAATTTCAGCCTAGAAACAGAAAAGATTACAGATCATGAGGAGCAGACCACAACACTAGAAGAAAAAGTTGAACAAAGTCCACCTAAAGAGTCAGAGCAAGTAGCCAATCAAAGCCCAGAGGAGGCAGGACTAGAAGAGGAAGCGGAGGAAGTGCAGGAAGAAATGCTACTGGCAGGAAGCCCCCCAAACTCCCCTCAAAACTGGGGTGCCACCGGTCGAAACAGCAGAGTTGGACCCACACACAGTGACCTGACATTTGCAGTGCGACAGCGTAGATTGGAGCTTAGTCTCATGGATTACAACGAGACCGAACCAGACTCTTGACAGAACAACATCTGGCTCAGTCGAGATCAGGGTCTGGGCTTAAAGCTGGGGTACCTGGCCTGAACCATCTCACACAAAGCCTTTAACACGTCATCGAATCCGGTTGGAATGGTCAGCAGCCATTCAGCTGTCAGCCTATTTCCACTCTTTACTAAACTATTCCACTCTACAAGCCCTAATAAACTCTGTGGTCAGAGTGCGCTGTAATTTATGGTTACCTTGGAACTTCCATGGATAACCATTTTCTGTGAATTCATATACTACTGAGTAAAAAATTAAAACGCAACAAACTAGAGCTAGTGTTAAAAAGAGCTGATGTGAAGCTGAATCATTTTCTGTCATAAAGAAATGCATCATAAGTGCATATGCATACATGTAAAAGAAAAAACTAGGTACCCCAGCTTGAAGGAGAGAGCAAAGGGATTGTAGAAATGACATAAAACTGGACAAAAGGTAGAATGAATTGGGTCTCATCTCAGACTTGTCTTATGCTACACATCAGGAAGCAAGGGATATCTAGGACTCAAACTGGGCTTACCCTGTGCACCCTGTGTGTTGTTCACTCGATATTAATGGATTTCAATGCTCACTGTGCGACTCACATACAAGTAAAGCTGCATAAGTGCCATCAATGTTTGTGTGAATCTTCTCATACAGCACGTTTACACCATAATGTCACATGTGTCACATGTATTAACACACACACCCCCCACACACCCCTGTGGCCACAGAATTATCCGTTCACTTAAATGTCTTGTAAATGTGCACAGTGCAAGCCCAGCTTCATGTATAAGCCATGTCAAAACTTGTTATCAGGTGCTTAAAATAAGGGGAATGTATTGTCTATTAAATTACAATTTTGTTTGGTTGGGTTGTCACTGTAATACATATTTATAATAGTGAAAATGTTTGGAAGTTATTTATGGGGAGTTGTAAAAGGGAATGTGTCCATATCATCAAAATGATTACTGCCTCAGAATGAAATGAACTGTTTAGTTTATTTTATCTTTAACATTCAAAGCTCTGTACATCAGACAATCAAATGCCGCCCTCAATGTCATAAGGCTGCTCATGTCCAAGGAAAGCAGAATGTGAATTGTAAAATGTTCCTATTTTTCATATGTTCATGGTAAATGGCTCGTTCGAACTGCTGAACTGGACTCCGTTCTCTGTGTGCTTTTACATCTCCACAAACAAAAGTGAGCCAGGGTTCACTTCAAATTGACAAATTAAAATTGATTAATTAAACCTTGAACCTGTTTCATATATTGTATTTGACATTTGTCGCAATTTGATGCATACAACTGTATTATGTAATTTTGTTCATTATTCATTTCAATTATGCCTCAATAATTTGCACAAATATCTCCTTTAGCCCATTATGTGGTCATTATACTTTATGTTCTATCCTCGTTCTAAAAATAAGAATGAGAACAGAATCAGTCAGTAGTAAAGATATCCACAAAGCCCAATATACTGAAATTATATATATTTTTTGCGTTTTCCTGTCACACTTTTTTGTTGCCAATAATCAGTTCATTTTGGATGTTAACGATGCTGTTTACCAATGTTCTCTGTATCCTGCCCTTTCCTGGAGCTGCTGAAGTAACTTACTTTCCTTGTGTTAAACTGTGAAAATAAAAAGGAACTTGGCTCTTTGCACGTGCTTTATTTTATTTTATTTATGTTGCTTCCAAAAAGTTGCATTCTGCAGCTTTCAATGTACCTTACTGTACAATCTTTTTTTAGCAACATTATGCTGAGGAACTTGAATGAATGAATGAATACTTTTATTTCGAGCCATGTCAGACAAGAACAAGGAACAGCAACAAAACAACTGAATAGAAAAAAAAACAATAAAACAAACAATAAACCCATATACAATATGTTTTGTTTTATTAACAAAAAGTCAGCTCGAAAAGGAGTGGGAAGAAGTTAAGACAAACCTAATGTATGTATTGATCACTGCTGTTAGGGGGGTTAATCCATAGATCAATCATGGGGTTAATTGAGTTTTCATTGGCGCAGTTTTGCGCATCTGTGGCTCATCAGCTGTGTTTAGGGCGGAGCGGTGGTGTTAGAAGGGGAGGGGCTAGGTGACGTACACGGAAGTAGGCACACGTGAATCCAGATCCGGAGTTGCGTGGAAACCGCAATACATTTCCAGGAGAGTATTTCAGCAGTCTGTCTAGTTTTGATTGGGTTGTTTGGGGTTCATCATGTCTGCACTGTATGCGTGAGGTTCCGCAGCACTGGTCAGAGGTTCGTGGACTGCTCCACACGCTCACGTGGTCCCTGTGCTAAGGTACAGAGGCGACACGTGCTAGTGGTATATGTTACAGACCATGTTTATACTGCTACTAGTACTCCTACTGTTACTGCCACCTACTGATACTATTACTAAAAATACTAGTTGTTACAAGGGCAACTACAAATACTACTTCTGTTAAGGCTACTGTGACTGTCGCCAACTACGATCTGTTACTGCAAATATTACCACTTGTACAAAGTCAGAGATGTTGTACTTAATTCTTTCTGAAGAATATAGACTGCTTCCTTATTATGCTAAAGTTAAAGATTACATTTACACATGCAAACATTTATTTATTTTGTCGAGCGTTTTAAATAGACTTTAGTATAGAGCTGTGTTAATGTATCTTGTCCTGTGCTGTGTTCATTCCTACTGATCAGTAACTGTGGATTTACTTTGTGGGTCGAATAAATTATCTCAAATACTTCTAAATTACTTTTGCAACTACTATTGTTACTGCTAGTACAATTGTATCCCTACTTCTAACCACCATTATTATTGCGACTTCTACCATTATGACTTATTCAGTTAGAGATGCTTACAACTGTTTAATACCAGGCTGATACTCCTGTTACCCCCGCCATTACTGCTGCTGCTAATACGGAAAACCTGCTATTACTTGATTACTACTACTAATACTAGTATAGCATTAATGATTTTTGAATTTACTATTGTCATTAAAACTATACTACTACTACTACGACTACTACTATAACTACTACATTACTATCACTAATTTGATGATCCAATGAACACCATCAATCCATTTAGAGAGGTTCATCATATTTCTCATATAAAGTTCTGAAAATGCCCCTCAATATTCAGATTATTCTAATAGATCCATGAGACAGACCCATCTAATTTTCAGATGTGTTTTCAGATATTACTGGAGAAAAATATCACCCACCGCCTCTGATAGTCCATTTAGTTTTGCTCACTTCTCCATAAAGTGTAGTTTATTCTTGTTAACTGTATTCTTTTCAGATGTCTCCAGAGGATGGTCTTTGTCTGAACATTTCCACTGCGCCGCTTTCGAACCAGGAATGGGCGAGGAGTCAGAGGAAGAGACCCGCTTCGAGCCAAGACAAGTGGACGTTGGTCAGTCAGCCATTCAAAGACATACCTCATAGTCTACACGGGAAATTATTGTATTGAAAATGTTTTTAGCGGTCTGTACCTTGGCACTCGCATTGCGCATATGCATAACCGTGCATTGCTGCATAATGGATCGTTTTGTCACCACTAAGGAGTGCATTTCAACTCTCAGTGACGGACAGTGATAACAATCCACAAAATCCCATTGTATGATTGTAACAAATCAATTCAAGTCAATTTTTGCTCCATTATATCTATACATTGTTTAAAGATCATACCAAATATGTGATTTCTTTTCATTCATTTATTTGTTACATTTGTCAATTTGGAAAAAATACCCCATTCTTGTCACTCACAATGGAAGATAATGAATGTCCACTCTCGTGTTTTGAAGTGTAACTGGCGTATCATTTTTTGCCCCACTGTTCTTTTGTGTTAGACTGATGTAAGGCTCTCCTTCACATGTTTGTGTTCGTTTAGAAAAAGCAACGGCGTCAGCAACATAACGCAGCTTCAGTCCAGAGGAAACAGGAGACCGTCCCTCCTCCGGCAAAGGTGCTGTTCCTTTTCATACATAGCGAAGATAATTCATATGATGCACACAAATGTTTAAGCAAAATGTTTGTATAGTTGAGGTGTGGAACTTCTTCAGATTCAGATTCATTTTATTCGCCATTTGCAGTAACACTACATTGGAATACATTAGTAAAAGTTCCCAGTGTGCACAGGACAAGTACAGACATAAAACAACATTAAAAGACAAAAATAAAACAAATTTTAAAAACAGTAAACAAATGTCACTGTGAAGTTGACCAAATAAAACAGATCTATACAAGTGCAAAAACATTAAAGTGCTCTATTCAAACTGATAACAGCTCGTGGAAAAAAACTATTAGCATAACGAGATGTCCTGCATCTCAGAGAACAGTATCTTCTGCCAGAGGGAAGAAGCTGGAACAAGGCTTGTAGCCTGTTGTGCAGTGGTCACTCCAGCGCAGCACCTGGGGACCATCTGCAGTTGTAGAGTTTATCTTTGATGCATGTTATGGATTGTGAGAGAAACCTCACGCTGAAAGACCCGATCCTGAGTCATATGAAGCCCTTGGTTTAGCCCTAAACCAGAGTTTGTCTCCTTATTGTCCATTAATGTTATCTTTTAAAGGTTCAGGTGGCACCTCCTGAAAACAGCGACTCCACAGAACCTCAAAAGAAGAAGAAGAAGGAGAAAAAGAAGGATGTAGGAGATGAAGATGATGGCGGTAAAGACTTGCCAGTTAAAGTGCGTACGGCAGGTTTTACCCCAGTTATTTACATTATCTGACGTAAATATAAACACTTCAAATCATCGCTTCCATCAGCAATGTCACAAGTGAGAGACGGCTTACTGCTTTCCTTGCGACCATTGTGATTGTTTCAAAGTACAGTGTGTGCAGAATTGTTAGGTACCCTCATGTTTTTGTGTAGTACATTGTTGTGATCATTTACTTTAACCTGTTGCATAGTTTGCATTCAAGTTCCACCTGGGAATGATTTGAACAGTTTGGCTGCAAGAACTCTTTGTTAGACTACTTGCAGCTGAGATTAACACAATTTATGACTTCACTTCTACTGAAAAGGATCTAATAGTAATGACAAATTGTTATAGATTTGAACGGGAATTATACAACGCAATTATAACGGTTCACAATAGGGTGGAAGAAAAGAAAACGCTTTAGTTGACAGAAGACCGATAGACATGTTTTAGGTTTAGGTTTTTTGTATTTTTAACAGTATTTTTGGCTTATTCTTGTCTTGATTTGGATTTGAATACAAAGCTTGTTGCAACGTATTAATCCTACAAGTAACGGTGTCAACTTGCATTTTCCCAAGTTTCACCTGGGAATGGTTGAGACTCCCCAACAGGTTTAGTGATCAAAATACTGTGCATGGAGGTACCTAATAATTCTGCATACACTGTACAATGGACAATTTTACGTAGATACAATTGGTAAAACATAACAATTCAAACATTATTATTTCTATTAGTTGGTTCATGACTATTGTGTAAATCTTATGAGCTTTGATCTTGTTTACGGTGCTTGCTCTGATAACTTCCTCTTTCATCATGCTCATGTCCAACAAAAACCACATTTTTCTGGACACACGCACTTCCAGGTTACAAAAATCAAGAAGAAAAAGCTTCTGAACAAAACAGACAACGTAGAAGCAGAAAAGGATGAAGGAGACAAAGAGACCAACAAAGGATCCTTCAGGACGTCCTCTCTGTTCAAGCACAACCCCGAGATCCCAGTCATACACAGGTCAGACTGATGATCCATCAGGCCAATGTTTCAATGATGAACAGAAGGGAATGTAACTTGTGGTCTCTACTGTCCATGTCTCCTCAGAACGTGTGTGTCTCAGGTGAAAGAGGAGGTCTTCAGCCATTCTTCGTTTGATGACTTGGACATTCACCCACATTTGGTAACGGACATTCTCTGCTCTGACTCATTCTTGTTGAGCAGAGAAATCTCAATCAAATCAAAGATGTCGGCGTATTTAAATCAATGGCTTGTGCTCAGTGGCGCATGAAGTGAACACAGAGACCGAAAGATTAGTGGAGCCCACCCATATCTGGGCATGCGCCTGGTCCCCCCGGTTCTGCGCAGTGGACGACCTCCCATGATGCTTTGCGCCAAACACTATAACAAGCACATGTGTGGCTCTCATGCACCTGCTCATAGGAGCGGCAGCATTCTGAATCAGGCGCTGCTGATCAGAGCGGAGCGAGAACGGGAGCCTAACGAGCAGAGTTTGTTGCACTAATGTGTGGATTTAAAGAAAACCGATGGCTTTAACAAGGGAAAAAGTGGGGCCACTAAAATCCCCCAAAAATCAGATGGTTATGAAAGCTGTAGGTTCTCTGTCAGCTGAGATTGAGCTCTTTTAATTTACATTGAGTTTTATGGGGAACATTTCTAGGTACTCCACGTGAATTTAGTCTTATTTAGTCCGCAGTACCACGGGAAGCCCCCGAGCCCATGGGTGCTTCAGCTATAAGCTAGTAATACCTACCTGATACTCTAGTCATTATTATAGATCCATGGTTCTACATCTTTTTTTTACTGATCATGAACTTAGTAAACATACTCCTCCTTGTTGTTGTGGAACTTAAAACTGTTGTGATTGTTTGTTGCAGGTGGCGACACTGAATAAAGTCCTGAATGTTTCCACAATGACCAGGTCAGTGAAAATATGCTTCAATTACTTATCTTAGCTGTAATGTCCACTTATATCACTTCCTGTCCCTCAGTGTCCAGCAGAGGACAATCCCAGTGCTGATGTCGGGACAAGATGCAGTGGTCCGCTCCCAAACAGGATCAGGTCTGAACCAGAGACTAAACCAAGATTTAAAAGACGATGCAGTACTAGTTAGTAGATTGCTAACTGTAGTTCTGTTTTGTTTGGCAGGAAAGACGCTGTCCTATGCTGTTCCCCTGGTGCAGAGTCTTCAGTGTCGTCAGCCCAAAGTCCACAGGTCCCAGGGTCCTCTGGCGCTTGTCCTGGTCCCCACCAGAGAGGTATTCAACTACCATATTGTACTACTGTTCTATACTGTTGCTCCTGTTTTGAATGTTTTTATTATGTCCTGTAGAGTGTCATTGAGTGTTTTGAAAGGTGCTTTTAAATAAAATGTATTATTATTATTACAATATTGAAGCCACATTGAGACAACATACCAAAAATATAAACCAGTTGCAACAGAAATACTGAACAGCAGACAAAACATAGACATGGAAGACCCTTATTCATTTTACTACACTCAAGATAATATATGATGCAGCTCACCACAGTTCATACTCCACTGTCTAATGAACCCTAAGGGAAATTAATCTATTCCTGGGCACATAAGCAGGGGTGCACGTAACTTTTTCAGTGAAGTACTCCGATGAGTACCAGGAGATGGTGTTTGGTACTCACTCCATTTGTCGCGCGGTTCTTAATAGAGATTTTATACTTGATTCTTTTTAAAGCTAAAGTTTAGATCAGCTCTGATAACTTAAAGGTATAAAGGAGGATTTTCCCATATTTTAGGAAAGAACCGCCCTTTCTACTTTTTGAACAAAACTCTCTGCTCTTATAGGACAAGGACGTATAAACAGAATGATTGACATTTGGGAGGACCAATAGTGTTGATGATCCACCCGGAAGTAGAAAATCCTCTTGTATACCTTTAATCCAAGTCAACTAACCCATTAAGGCCTGACACACCTGATAAAACAGACCTGTAAAACCTATGGCCGACTTTAGAACCACCCTCCTCAACGTCTACAGAATGATTGATATCTCTGCCTCTGTAGCAGAAACATTATTTCAAAAGAATTTGAGAGCTGACACTTGTCCATAAAAATGCAGAGTATTATTTTAATCCTTCAGTAGAATAATAAAAAGATTATACAACTCCCACACAGGAAAGATAATAACACAACCAATAATAATGGGAGACTAACACATGTTTCTCAAAACGATAAATCAAAAAGAGTTTGGCAATAAAGTGGCACTAACTGTGTGGAAAAATTATTTAAAAAATCCATTCTCAGCCCAAAAAGTCAAATAATGACTCACAGGGCTCTTTCTTAAGTAAGTAAAACAAAAAAACGTGGAGACTTGGGAGAGATGGGGAAGAAACGGGGGGGGGGACAGGCAAGACCCGCACGTGCAATGTGCACGTAACGCGCACGTGTATATGGTTCTGTACGCGCGTCTATGGTCCGGCTCGGTACATGACCACGCGCGTCTATGGTCCGTGCTCGGTACATGACCACGCGCGTCTATGGTCCGTGCTCGGTACATGACCACGCGCGTCTATGGTCCGTGCTCGGTACATGACCACGCGCGTCTATGGTCCGTGCTCGGTACATGACCACGCGCGTCTATGGTCCGTGCTCGTTACATGACCACGCGCGTCTATGGTCCGTGCTCGTTACATGACCACGCGCGTCTATGGTCCGTGCTCGGTACATGACCACGCGCGTCTATGGTCCGTGCTCGGTACATGACCACGCGCGTTTGCTGAGCTGCCAAAGCGGCCACACTTTCTCCCGGGGTTAGAACGGAGGATGTTATTGCACCACGGCCCACTGTTTGAGAAGGACTGGTCCATGTGAAGTACGCAAAAGCGCTTTCTAACACAAGTGATAGTACGCATTTCTGATATTTGTCGCGCATGTGTACCTGCGTACCACTTATGTGCACCCCTGCACATAAGTTATACTACTGTTTGTTTTTCAGCTTGCTCTTCAGACTTTCCAGACTTTGCAAAAACTCCTTAAGGTGAGAATAAAAAAAAATTGAAAAAGGTTTTCAATAACACGGTAATGATGATAATTCTGTGGATGATGGCGTGTGTTTGATCAGCCGTTCATGTGGATTGTGCCTGGAGTGCTGATGGGAGGAGAGAAGAGGAAGGCAGAAAAGGCCAGGTCTGTCCCTCATCTGTTTTTCAGCCAAACCGTCACATTTCACTATTGTTTTCTCTTTCAGAGCATTTGCAGTCTCACTATGGTGTTCATTGAAGCACTTATATCTACAGTGTCTTGCGAAAGTATTCGGCCCCTTGAACCTTTCAACATTTTGCCACATTTCAAGCTTCAAACATAAAGATATAAAATTTTAATGAATGAATCAACAACAAGTGGGACACAATCGTGAAGTGGAACGAAATTTATTGGATAATTTAAACTTTTTTAACAAATAAAAAACTGAAAAGTGGGGCGTGCAATATTATTCGGCCCCTTTACTTTCAGTGCAGCAAACTCAGTCCAGAAGTTCAGTGAGGATCTTTGAATGATCCAATGTTGTCCTAAATGACTGATGATGATAAATAGAATGCACCTGTGTGTAATCAAGTCTCCGTATAAATGCACCTGCTCTTTGATAGTCTCAGGGTTCTGTTTAAAGCGCAGAGAGAACCATGAAGACAAAGGAACACACCAGGCAGGTCCGAGATACTGTTGTGGAGAAGTTTAAAGCCGGATTTGGATACAAAAAGATTTCCCAAGCTTTAAACATCTCAAGGAGCACTGTGCAAGCAATTATATTGAAATGGAAGGAGTATCAGACCACTGAAAATCTACCAAGACCCGGCCGTCCCTCCAAACTTTCATCTCAAACAAGGAGAAGACTGATCAGAGATGCAGCCAAGAGGCCCATGATCACTCTGGATGAACTGCAGATAACTACAGCTGAGGTGGGAGAGTCTGTCCATAGGACAACAGTCAGTCGTGCACTGCACAAATCTGGCCTTTATGGAAGAATGGCAAGAAGAAAGCCATTCTCAAAGATATCCTTAAAAAGTCTTGTTTAAAGTTTGCCACAAGCCACCTGGGAGACACACCAAACATGTGGAAGAAGGTGCTCTGGTCAGATGAAACCAAAATCGAACTTTTTGGCCACAATGCAAAACGATATGTTTGGCGTAAAAGCAACACAGCTCATCACCCTGAACACACCATCCCCACTGTCAAACATGGTGGTGGCAGCATCATGGTTTGGGCCTGCTTTTCTTCAGCAGGGACAGGGAAGATGGCTAAAATTGATGGGAAGATGGATGGAGCCAAATACAGGACCATTCTGGAAGAAAACCTGTTGGAGTCTACAAAAGACCTGAGACTCGGACGGAGATTTATCTTCCAACAGGACAATGATCCAAAACATAAAGCCAAATCTACAATGGAATGGTTCACAAATAGACATATCCAGGTGTTAGAATGGCCAAGTCAAAGTCCAGACCTGAATCCAATCGAGAATCTGTGGAAAGAGCTGAAGACTGCTGTTCACAAACGCTCTCCATCCAACCTCACTGAGCTCGAGCTGTTTTGCAAGGAAGAAGAATCTCTCGATGTGCAAAACTGATAGAGACATACCCCAAGCGACTTGCAGCTGTAATTGCAGCAAAAGGTGGCGCTACAAAGTATTAGCGCAAGGGGGCCGAATAATATTGCACGACCCACTTTTCAGTTTTTTATTTGTTAATAAAATTATCCAATAAATTTCGTTCCACTTCATGATTGTGTCCCACTTGTTGTTGATTCTTGACAAAAATTTAAATTTTTATATCTTTGTTTGAACCCTGAAATGTGGCGAAATGTTGAAAGGTTCAAGGGGGCCGAATACTTTTGCAAGGCACTGTATAGACCAGGCTTGTGGGCCAAGACCTTTTTAGTGGCCCCTAAAATGATTTTTCATTATTATTATTATTATTATTATTAACATAGTACATTTCATAAACGGTATTTATAAACTTTCATAAACTTTGAGTTTCTTAAACTTTGTTTATGAAACAACTATTTATTTGATCCAGTTTGACACCCCTGCTATAGAACCATGTCTCCCTCATGGTATCTGGCAGTTAAGCCTTTTAAGACATAAAATAATGACAGAGGTCTGTAATTTTCATCATAGGTACACTTCAACTGTGAGAGACAGAATGTGAAAAAAAAATCCAGGAATTCACATTGTAGGATTTTTTTTTTAAATGTATTTGTAAATTATGGTGGAAAATAAGTATTTGGTCACTTCAAACAAGGAAGATCTGTGGCTCTCACAGACATGTAACTTCTTTAAGAAGCTCTTCTGTCCTCCACTCGTTACCTGTATTAATGGCACCTGTTTGAACTTATCTGTATAAAAGACACCTGTCCACAGCATCAAACAGTCAGACTCCAAACTCCACTATGGCCAAGACCAAAGAGCTGTCGAAGGACACCAGGAAAAGAATTGTAGACCTGAACCAGACTGGTCCAAAATGATCATGAGAACTGTGATCAAAAATCCCAGAACCACACGGGGGGACCTGGTGAATGACCTGCAGAGAGCTGCGACCAAAGTAACAAAGGTTACTTTCAGTAACACACTACGACGACAGGGAATCAAATCCTGCAGTGCCAGACGTGTCCCCCTGCTCAAGCCAGTGCATGTCCAGGCCCGTCTGAAGTTTGCCAGAGAGCACATGGATGATACAGCAGAGGATTGGGAGAATGTCATGTGGTCAGATGAAACCAAAGTCGAACTTTTTGGTATAAACTCAACTTGTCGTGTTTACCTACATACCTACAGTGAAGCATGATTTGGGGCTGTTTTTCTGCTAAGGGGACAGGACGACTGATCCGTGTTAAGGAAAGAATGAATGGGGCCATGTATCGTGAGATTTTGAGGCAAAACCTCATTCCATCAGTGAGAGCTTTGAAGATGAAACGTGGCTGGGTCTTCCAGCATGACAATGATCCCAAACACACCGCCCGGGCTCCGTAAGAAGCATTTGAAAGTCCTGGAGTGGCCTAGCCAGTCTCCAGACCTCAACCCCATTGAAAATCTGTGGAGGGAGTTGAAAGTCCGTGTTGCTCGGCGACGGCCCCAAAACATCACTGCTCTCGAAGATCTGCATAGAGGAATGGGCCAAAATACCAGCTACTGTGTGTGCAAACCTGGTAAAGACCTATAGTAATCGTTTGACCTCAAAGGTAAAAAGTATTGAGTTGAACATTTATTTTCCCCCATAATTTACAAATAAATTCTTAAAAAATCCTACAATGTGAATTCTTGGATTTTTTTCTCACATTCTGTCTCTCACAGTTGAAGTGTACTTCAACTGTGAAGTACACTTCAAAATTACAGACCTCTGTCATTATTTTGAGTGAGAGAACTTGCACAATTGGTGGCTGACTACTTTTCTGCCCCACTGTATATGCTATTTACTACTGATCATCTCAGGGTGACCCTGCGCCCCAATCCGACTTTTATCCCAATTGTGGTTGGTGCGTGCACCAAGTGGATGCTTGGTGTACCCGGTTTGAGCTCTTAGGGCTAATGTTGAAAGGACCAGATCCTTTCGACAAGCGGACCAGTTTTTTGTGTCAGTGGCAAAACCCCACAGAGTGAAACTCTTGGGCCCTGACTGACATCATGAGATTGTGAACGCTTGTCTGGTAAATGTCTGTTTCCCATAGTGAGACATCAACATTAATGCTATGAAAGTTACTTACTATTATTAAATTACTTGCTTAACCCCGGTAACGAGTGAGATGTCTCACCTTATTGCCCTATTATACAATTTGTGTTGTTAAGTGTGTGTGTGTGTGTGTATTCAGGCTCCGTAAAGGCGTGAACATCCTGGTGTCCACTCCAGGTCGTCTGGTTGATCACATCCAAAACACCTTGAGTCTGGCATTCAGCTCCCTATGCTGGCTGGTGCTGGACGAGGCTGACCGGTGAGACACCCACATCAAGACTGCTTGAAGCACAATATACTGCAATGGAGGAAGATTGCAATCTTTTTTTTATTTTATTTTTATTGACCAAATAAAAAAAAGTTATATTAGGCAATCTTATACTGCTCTTCACAGGCTGGAATTTGAATAAGGTATAAGCCATCGTTGATGTTATTTTACTGTAGCCTCATAATAACAGTAATATGGCCTTGTGGTAATGTTCAATTGTAAGCAAAATTATTTATACAAATATATATTATTGACTGTGATCTTTGTCTTGGTCACATCTGGGGTGATCAATGTTATTGAGTCTGTCTGTCCCAGGGCAGCTATTGCTACATCATTGCTATTTCCCACCAAACTTCTATCAAATGAGTTACTTGAAAAAAATTGCACTTCTATTTATAGATTATTTTTAAAAAAAACAAGTTTAAATACTATGTTGTAAAAGCTAGGATGACACCTCACTTTCATGGGTTTCACAGTATTTATTGTTTATTGTTTGTCTACCGCAGGACTCTGGACCTAGGATTTGAGAAGGACTTGACTGTGATCCTAAACTCTATAAACTCGTCTGGGGCTAAACGACAGAATGTCCTTCTTTCGGCTACCATCTCCCAAGGTACAGCTGCTCTTTTCCAACCATAGGTCTCCTTTTACGCTACAGCTATTACAGTAACATACGTTCTATTTACTGCAGGTGTGACACGACTGGTGGACGTTTGTTTAAATGATCCAGTCACGATTCAGGTGTCTGAATCTGACTACGCCCCTTCGACTGATGTGGCTCAATCAGAGAGCACCTCCAGCATAGCTGTCCAGACCTTCTCTGTTCCTGAGGGGCTCAAACAGTATGTGGTGATCGTTCCCAGTAAAGTGCGGCTGGTCTGTCTTGCCTCTCTCATCCTGGATAAGTGTCAGGTAGGGCTACACCACTTCTCAGATGGCCACGATGACAATAATGTTGTTATGTATCAAAGGGCATAGGATAATTTAAATTTGAAGAAACCAACCATCCATTTAGATTCCCACTGTACTCAAGCTGGATAAGATCAGAGTTGTCTTTTCATTAGCAGATGGAGTCACAATGCACTGAAAGAGACGTGCTCCCTTATTTAGGCTTTTGACATTTCAGATTCAGATTCATTTTATTAGCCATGTGCAGTATAAAAACTACAATGTAATACATTTGCAAAATAGGTAGTCTGTGTGCACCGACAGACTAAAGAGCATAATACAATGTAATATAAAATACACATACTCTGAAAATAAAAGAATAAAAAAACAGCTGACACTGTGGCACCGATCAACAAAAACGATACAAGGGGTTCTAAGCCTGTTTCAGAACTCAAACATGGCTATATTTCTATAATATACAAACAAGATCATTTGCTTTTGCCATCAATTGCAATTAGCCAAATGCAGCCTCTAAAATTGTGATTTGAAATAATTTTGATTAATTGTGCAGCCATAGCGTCATGTGTGAGAAAAATATTCTGTGATACCCTATTATATTTGTGACCGGTTGAGTGGTTAGTTCTCCTGCCCCTCAGCAAGAAGCACCTCTCTCAGGTGGTCTTTCTAAGTCAGTGTCTCCCAAAGTGGGGTCCGCGGCCCCCTGGTGGGCCGCGAGGGTACTGCAAAGGGGCCGCGGGAGGTCATAAAAAAAATAATATAATTATTTAATGTTAAATTTATAATGTTTTGTTTGTAATATTAAAATATTTGTGTTCATTATTTGACTTGAATAATCCACTGTAATCATTTTTGTATTACAATGTTTGTAGCAGAGGCTATTTCCCCAAAATAAAATAACCAGAAGAGCCTATTCTTAATGTTGTCTTCTTGGTTATTATTTTGGGGGGCCACGCAGACCCGTCAGATTTTTAAGGGGGCCTCGGTGTTACTGAGTTTGAGAATGGCTGTTCTAAGTGAACTCTTCATCTCTGTATCTGTTCCAGTTTCCTCTGAGTGCTCAGATTCCCCCTACTGCCAAAAACCTGTACAATGGAACCACGTAGGAAAACATTGCGCTAATGCTGGTGTAATTACAGAATTTGCTGTCCATGAATACACTATCCTATTCAAATAAATAATTTATAATATAATAATTAGAGGCCAAACAACGCCTGAATACGAGCTAAAGGTGCTTTCACACCGCAGACACTAGAACACTGACGCCTCACGCACCAAATCACATTTTCTTATTATTCAGATGCAGGGGTGGCGCCCACCGGAAGTGGCGGAAGTAGCGTGCGGACTTTGATGCTAACGGAGTTAGGCTAGCGGCTTTTTGTGTAATGTTCTTCAAGAATGCAGCTCTGCCGCGTCTCTGTGTCCAGAGACTTTATATAACAGTAGTATGTGTTCAGAGGTGCGGCATACGTTTGTTTTTAAACAGTACTTCCGCATCGGCGAACACGCTCGAAGCAGTTGCATAAAGTCACGGGAGCATGAAAACTCATATGTTCAAAAGCACTATGTCCCCCATTGTCAACCCTGGTTTAGTCCTGTTGTAGCTCCTGTTCAGACCACTAATGTCCCCGTGACCACTTTGCGGCTCTCTGATTGGTCGCTGCACGAGCGTCCCGAGGAAACGCTCAGCAATATTTTATCTTCTGCATGCTTCAATTTTCACTCCTGCGCAGTCTGTGCGTCTCTACCGCGCAGTCCGTGCGTGTTGAGACGCACATGCAGTTCGACGCTCGAACGCGTGTCACCATTGACTTTACATTGAAAGTCGACGCAACGCATGATCCGGTGTGAAAGCACCGTAAGAAATTCTTCACCTGGGTTATAATTTGTGCTGGAGGCCAGATGCTATAGTCAGAAGGTTCAAAACTTTTCTATTCTTCCTGCTTTGATAAACACTGTTGGTCGATAGTTCACAATAGTCTTGAAGAATGATTGTTTATAAATGTTTTTGTCAGGTTAATGAGAGTAAGATAGTGGTGTTCGTGTCCAGCTGCGAGGTGGTCGAGTTCCTTCATCTGATCCTGTCCTTCATCCTGAACAAGCACTCCACCAATCGGCAGCTGAATTTCTGGCGTCTCCACGGCAACATGAAGCAGGAGGTACGTCAAATATCAGATATCGACGTCAGCAGAATGACACGCATACTATATTTGATTCTCCTTGCATTTCACTAAACTACTTCTGGCTCAGTCTTTTACACAGCGCTGCCATTTCTGAAGAGTTAAAAGGAACATAAAGCTGCATTACCTCACTAACCCTAATACATTGTGTTTAATGATGACCGAGTGAGGGCTTGTGCTCTACGTCATACATTTAAATCAGCTGTTTCAGTGAAAAAGGCCTAAAATACATGAATGTGAAAATAAAACCAAAATGGGATAGAACCAAACTATTTTGATTTCCCCGGATATCATTAATGAAGTGGGTGACTGTGAGACAGAAAAATATTCCAGATTATTCTTATGATGTTTGTAATCATTGTGTGCCATGACCCTAAAGTATCATTTAAATTCAATTACATTTTATAGCTCTAAATCACAACAGTAGTCATTTTGGAGGACTTCACAAAGTTTTGCCAACACAGATCAGACAAATGGTTCAAACATATGAATTGCAATTATACCAAACACATAGGCGCCATTAGTCGTGCCTCCACCACAAGAACTTCGGGGTAATTTTACAAGGCCAGGAGGGGACCCTCCCCCACAGGGCCATTTACAGGAACTTTTACGGGGCCCAACGGAGCGCCTACTCCAGAGGAGTTACTCCGTTGGGCCCTGAACAGCTCCTGGTGGGGCTTGAGGTTAACCCGGCGCTGATTGGATAAAGCTAGAGCAGGCTCTGACACCAGCAGAAGGCACCAAAACCACCGGCATTTTAAAAATTCAGCAGCATTAGCCCAGCAGACACTACTGGAAAGGGCAAACAACAAAGAAAGATGTACGATAAATGGACGGATGATAAGGTGCAGGCATTGCATCGCGGCAAAATGAAAAGTTATGAAGACTATGAAGCGCACTTCGACACACTGGGGATTCATCACACTCTGAAACAATGCCGTGAAAAGTTAAAAAAACAACTAAAGCAGGACTATAAAAAAACTCAAAGACAACCGGAGTGGTTCCAGCCGTAAAATAGAAAATAATAATTGATTACGCTGCGACGTCGCAGAGGGGGCCTAGCACTGTAAACCCTAACTTCAATCGTACCTCAGATATCAGTTATCTTAAATAGATTTTTCCCAGTAAGTAAATATTACTCGTTTATTGAAAACAGTAGACGGGGCTGGAGTGCTTCTTGGATGTGAAAATTAAATGAGGAAAAAAGTACACTTTTGGTGCTCTTCAGTGGAGGGACCAATGTTGATAGTTCAGACAGAAGACTGAGGCACTCAAAAGTTATCAAAATCTTTTAAAAGCCTTTATTTGACATGGCAAAAAGAGGTTAAAATTACGCCTACGCGTTTCAGCCTTCTGGCCTTCTTCAGGGCATACTCGAGAGGAGTGTCTCAGTACAGATTTAAAGAGAATGGTGCTTATCACATGGTCAGTGGGCGGGCCTACAGTCACAAGGTTTAAAATCTGGAAAAAATATTGAAGCTCCCAAACAAAGTGCATAATATTATGTACACACCTATAAAGAATACAATATATAAGAAATATAATCAATGGTCTTTTTTGAAAAGTACTTAAAGAAAAGGAGAATAGTCCAACTCCCCATTTAAGCCTGGGAATTGAGTGGTTTTTAAAGTATATATCCAGTAGGACTCTCTTTGAAGTAATGTCTTGAGTCTATTTCCTCCTCTTATTAGGGCTGGGCGATATGGCAAAAAAAAAAAATCTCCGATTTTTTCACACCAAATCCGATTTTCGATTTTATTCGATTTATTTTTTTCTATTTAAAAACAAACTACAACTGACAAAGAAATAGATTTTCCTTTATGCAGTTTAATCTAAATCCCCATGGAGCATAAGTGTAACAGGAATTAAGCCTTAAAACATGCTTGTAAACGGGATGGCTCTGCCATTGTAAACAGTGAAAATGTAGCTTAAGTTTTATAATAACTTCACTTACAATGACACTATGCACCTTCAAAATAACTTAAATCACACAAACAAGGCCCATCGCAAATATATCAATCCTATTAAACACATGCATTATTTACATGAAATATCACATTTTTAAAACTGATTACTCAAAATAGAAATGTTGTAACAGACAGTCTTTTCCAAAAGCCTCCTCGGGTTTTCATGCTTGTTCTTTCAACTGTGCCTGAGTAACTGTGCTGTAGTACAACGCTCGGTCCAGCTGGTGGCGCTAATACTAACTTCAGTGACTCCCGCATTGTGCGAGCTTCCTGTTTACATTCTGATGCTGTAGCTAACAGCTACTGTAGCAGCTACTGTAGCTAACAGCTACTGTAGCTAACAGACAGCGGGGAACACGTTGTTTGTATCAGAGCAATGAGAGCAATGTGTGAGACGTGTCTTTCCCCAAAGTGCAGCGGCTCAGTGGGACACGAGTGTATGCGCGCCACGGACACGGGAGTGCGCTTTGGAATAACGAGCGTGAGAGAGCGTGAAAGATGTGGCGTACGGACATAACGACCGGAGCCTGCGTGCGTGTGTGTGTGTTCTGGCGATTACATAAAGTCTGATTCTTGAACGTTTGAAGTGCTATTGCAACAGCACCAACTGTGAGAGCGAGCATCAGGCCAGAGGGAGACTGTTAGCATTAGGTTAGCTTCAAAATGACCGCTCAACACCATAGACCCGCGGTTAGCGCGTTAGCGCTGTAGTTCTGCGCTGGAAAAAATAAAAATCGAATTTTTAAAAAAAGAAATCGCCCTAAACGTAAAACTCGAATTAATGATTAAAATCGATTAATCGCCCAGCCCTACCTCTTATTGTCTCTGGAATATGCTCAATGTCACAGATCTTCAGGCTACTGCAACTTCCATGGTTGGAGTCTCTGTAGTGTAGAGCCATTGGATATTGTGGGTTTTTTGTCCTTATAGCTTGCTTGTGTTCGGCCAGTCTGTTTTTCAGTTTCCGTTTTGTACGGCCTACATAGAAGCGGCCGCAGGGACACTCAAGTCTATAAACTACAAAGGTAGTATTGCAATTGATGATTGTTTTGATGGTGAAAGTTTGTCCAGACGAAACTTCCATAAAGTGATTAGTACGCTGAATATGGTCGCAGTATGTACAGTTTCCACATCTATAACAGCCACTTTGAGTGTTCAGCCATGTATTTGATTTAAGGGGTGGAAGGTAGCTGTTCACCAGTTTATTTCCAAGTGTTGGGGCTTTTCTAAAACTTACTGTTGGTGAATCTGGGAGGGCCTCTCTCAATGTACTGTCGCTTTTTAACCCTTTAGGCGCCAGAGTTTTTTTAAGAAAATATACAATTTTGAGTTCAAGATTTCAAAAGGCTATAACTTTAAAATGGTTTGAGATAAAGGCATACTGTAAATTAGAAATATCTTCAGTTTGAACCAAACTTTGGGATGGAAGTTGATTCGTCATCTAATTTGCATATTGTGACGTCATCAAGGTAGCGGCCATTTTGGAAAATGTTAATTATTGTATAAAGACTTCAAAAAGCTGTAGCTTGGGAGTTATTTGAGATCAGGGAATACTATAAACAGTCAATGTGAAATATCTTTAGTATGAAATGAATTTGGGATAGAAATAAATTCCCTGATCCAGATTATAGATAATGTTTTAGCACTGGTTCGCGGCCATATGGAATTGTATTATTTTCAAAGACCTTCAGTGATCAAGAGAGATGAAATGAATGGGCTGTCTTGATTTACTATTAATTTATTGACCACTGAATTTGAAAAACATTGAATATTTTGACTCTGAATTTTAAAAATAATTTAAATTTATTTACACTGAATACTTTTTTGTTACAGTTTATAGATTCAAAAGCAAAAAAAAAACAGTTGTTGATAATAAAAACTAATCCTTGCATTACAGTTTTATGCCACTAAGTAACATGAAGTCACTGACTTGGAAATTGTTTGGCTCAGTGCAACAGTCAGAAGAGGATAATAAAAATTAAGAATAAAAAACACTTCTAAAGAATAAATTTAAAATTTAAAATTGAGTTACAGTTACCTATTTACAATATACAAGTGCACATGGTGCACACAATGTAAGGTGACAGCTTAGTACAGTGAAGTAAAGTTGACGTATGATGTGGCAGTATAAGAGACTTTATAAAGGGCGGGGGGACAGGTTAAGAAGAATGTCAAGAGTCCAACAGCAGAGGGGGAAGAAACTGTTCTTGTGGCGGGAGGTTCTAGTCCTGATGGGACCGCAGCCTCCTGCCTGAGGGGAAAGGGGATGGTTGGAATTAGTCCCATGTGCAGGGTGAGAGGGGTCGGCTGTGATACGACCAGGGGGGCCCCCGGCCTCGAGCTTCGGGCGAAGTACAGGTCTCTGCAGCGATGGAAGGGCTGCGGCCGATCACTGCCTCTGCAGAGCGCACAAACGCTGTAGTCTCTGTTTGTCCCTGACCATGGGCTCCAGCGAACACACAGTGATGGAGGAGGTGTTGGGAGGAAGTGGTGATGGAGGAGGTGAGGGAGGGAGGGGGAGGATGGACTCGATGTTGGACGTGTAGAACCTGCTCCTCATTGTGCAGGCAGCTTGGCTTTCCTGTGCTGCCGCTAGGGAAGTACTATCTCTGCTGGGCCTTCTTGATGAGGGAGCTGGTCATGTGGCTCCACTTGTAGGTCCTGGGTGTTGGTTGGTTGCCTAGCGGAGCATCCAGTCCATTTCAAGAAAGGATCTTACTTGTTTCAAAGATTGGTACAAGCGTTCAAAACATCAATGAATATGGTCGCTTGTACGCTCGAGAACAGTTGAGGTTCTAACATTGACTATGATGAGTGCAATGGATGTCTGATGTTGAAACTTGGCACAGAATTATTGGCCATGTAATTATGAAGATTTGGCCAAAACTAGAAACTGTTACTGAGGTACAAGTTTGTAAGTGTGGTTAAAGGGAAGTTATCCAATACCAGAAATAGAGCCTGACAGAGAGCTAGCAAACAGCGTGTAGAGTGGAGCCACACTGACTAGCTCGTTGCGGCCGATCGACCATGGAGCAAAAAGACGGGGGTTTAAGATACGCAAAAGCTTTTACTGACGCTCTTCAGGTACAACTTTGTTTATTTCTTGAAAGCTAAAATGTGACACTGTAGA